TCCCAGCCTGGCTTCCAACTGCATCCCTGGATATCTGGGAATTTGGGGTTCCTTGATCCCAGTTGTGGATTTATATCCCAAATTCTGGCCTGCTCATCAATCCTTCTCCAGGGATCACACTTTTCCAGGGATTCTGGCACAGATTGGGAATGGCACCTGGGAATTCCCAACCCCAAAGGCAGCGCTGGTGACATCCCACAAGTTTTTTTCCTAATTAAAAAAAAAAAAAAAGGGAAAGAGGGATTTTCCCTGTTCTCACTGGGGTTATTGGGACATTCCCAATCCCAGTCCAGGATTTGGAGAGGGATCAGCTCCAGTCCCGCTGCCTCCCATTCCCAGTGCACCATTCCCAATATTCCAGCCTTTCCCGGTCTGTGTCACAGCCCAGGGCTTTTATGGGATCATCAATCCCATTCCCAGAGCCCACTGAGGTCATTCCAGACCCTTCCCACTCCGTGACCTTTCCCAAGGCTGATTCCCTGGAATGTCTGGTGACCTCCCAAAGTCATGGCTCTGCCACACCCTCGGGCTGGGACAGGCTTGGAGCTCCCTGATCCCAAATCCCAGGGATCCCCCAGTTTGGGATTGGCTCGGGCTTGGAGCTCCCTGATCCCAAATTCCAGGGATCCCCCAGTTTGGGATTGGCTCGGGCTTGGAGCTCCCTGATCCCAAATCCCAGGGATCCCCCAGTTTGGGATTGGCTCGGGCTTGGAGCTCCCTGATCCCAAATCCCAGGGATCCTCTGCAATTGGCCCCTTTGCTCCCTGATCCCAAATCCAGCCGGATCCAGGGGTTTGGGATCGCTCCAGAGGGCACAACCTCGGCCGCGGGATGGGAGAGCGGGATCAGCTCCCGGGAAGCAAAACCTCCCCCTGGAATCCGGGAGCTGCTCCAGGAGGGATTTGGGGCCCCCCGGCCCCTCCCCGCGAGCTCCCGGAGCCATTCCCGAGGTTTTCCACGCCCTTCCAGCCACCTGGAGAGGTCCGGGAGCAGCGGCCGAGGCACGGAGGGACGGAGGGGTCCCGGTCCCGGGGGATGCGCGACCCCCGGGAGGGCTGGACCGCGGGCCGGGGGTGCGAAATTTTGGGGGGATGCGAAATTTTGGGGGGATGCGAAATTTTGGGGGGATGCTCGGTTTGGGGGGGATGCCCGGTTTAGGGGATGCTCAGTTTAGGGGATGCTCGGTTTAGGGGATGCCCGGTTTAGGGGATGCCCGGTTTAGGGGGGATGCTCGGTTTAGGGGGGATGCTCGGCTTGGGGGATGCTCGGTCCGGTGGATGCTCGGTTTAGGGGATGCCCGGTTTGGGGGATGCTCGGTTTAGGGGATGCTCGGTTTGGGGGGGATGCCCGGTTTGGGGGGGATGCTCGGTTTGGGGGATGCTCAGTTTGGGGGGGAGGGATGCTCGGTTTAGGGGATGCCCGGTTTAGGGGGGGATGCTCGGTTTGGGGGAAGGGATGCTCGGTTTGGGGGGGATACTCGGTTTAGGGGATGCTCGGTCCGGTGGATGCCCGGTTTGGGGGGGATGCTCGGCCCGGTGAATGCTCGGTTTGGGGGGAGGGATGCCCGGTTTAGGGGATGCTCGGTTTAGGGGATGCTCGGTTTGGGGGATGCTCGGTTTAGGGGATGTTCGGTTTGGGGGGGATGCTCGGTCCGGTGGATGCTCGGTTTGGGTGGAGGGATGCTCGGTTTAGGGGGGATGCCCGGTCCGGTGTATGCTCGGTTTAGGCGATGCTCGGTTTAGGGGATGCCCGGTTTAGGGGATACCCGGTCCGGTGGATGCCCGGTTTGGGGGGGATGCCCGGCCCGGTGGATGTTCGGTTTGGGGGGGATGCTCGCTCCGGTGGATGCCCGGTTTGGGGGGGATGCCCGGTTTGGGGGGGATGCCCGCTCCGGTAGATGCTCGGTGCGGGGGCGACGCCCGCTTTGCGCTCCCATCCCCGCTGGGAGCGGCTCCGGTGCTCGTCCCGCCCCCGGTGGGTGCTCGCCCCGCACCGCCGCCCCCTCCAAGGGTTAAAACTGCAGCGGAGCTGCGGGGCCGGAGCGGCGGCGGCCGCGGGAGGGGCTCGGCCGCGGTGGGAGCGGCGGCGGCGGCCGGGCCCGGCACCTTGCGGGCACCGGGGCGGCTCCTTACCTCGGGCCGGGCATGCGGGGCGAGCAACGCCGGAGGAACCGGAGCAGAAGGAGCCGGAGGAGCCGGGGGAGAAGCGAGGAGGAGGAGGAGGAGGAGGAGGAGGAGGAGGAGGAGGAGGAGGAGGAGGAGGCGGTCGGGGTGTGCCCGCAGCTGAGCGCTGCCCGCAGCTCGGCCGGTGCTCGGCGCGGCGGGGCCGTGATGTCAGCCCCGCACCGCCCCCGGGGGGAGCGGCCGGCCCGGCCCCGGAGCCGCCTTAACCCTTCGGCACCGGCCCCGGTACCGACTGAGCCCTCCGGGACCGGCCCCGGTACCGACTGAGCCCTCCGGGATTGGCCCCGGTACCGACTGACCCCTCCGGGACCGGCCCCGGTACCGACTGACCCCTCCGGGATTGGCCCCGGTACCGACTGACCCCTCCGGGACCGGCCCCGGTACCGACTGAGCCCACCGGGACCGGCCCCGGTACCGATTGGACCGGCCCCGGTACCGACTGAACCCTCCGGGACCGGCCCCGGTACCGACTGACCCCTCCGGGATTGGCCCCGGTACCGACTGACCCCTCCGGGACCGGCCCCGGTACCGACTGATCCCTCCGGGACCGGCCCCGGTACCGACTGACCCCTCCGGGAGCCGGTACCGATTTAACCCTTTGGGAGCCGGTACCGATTTAACCCTTTGGGAGCCCCGGTACCACCCCCGCGGGGCCGCGTTAACCCTTCCACGGCCCCGGTACCGATTTGACCCTTCGGGAGCTCCGGTTCGGGTCCATCCCCGGTACCGATTTAACCCTTTAGGAGCCCCGGTGTCGCTCCGCGGGGCCGCTTTAACCCTTTGGGGTCCGCGGTCCGGTCCCGGTTCGGTTTAACCCTTTGGGATCCGCGGTTCAGTTTAACCCTTTGGTATCCGCAGTTCGGTCCCGGTTCGGTTTAACCCTTTGGGATCCGCGGTTCGGGTCCGGTTCGGTTTAACCCTTTGGGATCCGTGGTCCAGTTTAACCCTTTGGGATCCGCGGTTCGGTCCCGGTTCGGTTTAACCCTTTGGGATCCGCGGTTCGGTCCCGGTTCGGTTTAACCCTTTGGGATCCGCAGTTCAGTTTAACCCTTTGGGATCCGCGGTTCGGTCCCGGTTCAGTTTAACCCTTTGGGATCCGCGGTTCGGTCCCGGTTCGGTTTAACCCTTTGGGATCCGTGGTCCAGTTTAACCCTTTGGGATCCGCGGTTCGGTCCCGGTTCGGTTTAACCCTTTGAGGGCCGATCTGGGAGGGGTCGCGCGGTGTCGCCGAGGGTTCCCCGCTGTCGCGACATGGCCCCGCTCCCTCCCATCCCGACAGCGCCAGGAAATCCTGGAATGCTGAGCTGGGAAGGAGCTGAGAGCCCATCCCAGCCCAGGCCTGGCCTGCGATCCAGGGGGATGGACATTCCCTGGAAATTAAAGAATCCATGGATATTTCCGTATCCCGAGATATTCCAGGCTGCTGCAGCATCCAGAAGGATCCATCCACATGGAAAAGGAGATTTTTTTTTTTTTTTTATCCCGTTTTTATTATCACAGTGACACCAGCAGGGCTGGCAGCTCCGTTTTCCAGGCCCAGCTGGAAGTGACACTGGGAATAATTTAGGACATGGATGTGTCCAAATAATCCCAAAATCCAGGCCCCAAAAGGGAAAAAAATCCTGGAGAATTTTATCCCAATTCCTGCTCTCTCCAGCAAGGAAATCCCGCTCCCCATGGCATCGATTCCAAAGAAATCCAGGGGAATTTGGGGGATTTTAGGATGGAATAAAGGAATTGAGGAGTGTCCCTGCCACCTGTGGCTGTGTCACCTTGCAGGCCCCAAATCCACGAATTTCCTCCCAATATTTAAAAATCTCTGGGATGACAAATGAATACTGGGGATAAATATTTATGGGGAAAAAAAAATAAACATTTTATCTCTTTGTTTCCAGGGAATGAAATTAAGATACAGCCCAGGCCTGGAATCCTCTAGGATTTTTTTTTTTTCTTAATTATTATTAATTTATTTTCATTAATTATTTTAAATTATTTTTTCCTCCATTTAATTTTATTTATTTCAAACAACTCCAGGCCAATTCCAAAGGCATTCCCAATCCTCCTGGAAGGGAAGCACAGCCCCAAACCCAAAGATTTCCCTTTTATAAGGAGATTATTCCACCAAGAATCCGATGGAAGATGAGTTTTATTCTGAGCTTCCCTGTAAAAAAAAAACACAAAAAACAATGGATTTGATGACAAGAGGAGGAAAAATCCCAAATATTCCTTGAAAATCACCAATTTTTAAGGATAAACCACGTGGGCTGGGCTGGAAAGTGTGGGAAAGGTTAATGCAATTAACAGGGAATTAATGACATCAGCCACCGCTAAATCCCGACCCACCCAGCCGTGACCTCTTCCCAAAAATCCTCTGTTTTCCCGGGATCCAAAGGATCCGAGAGGATGCTTGGAATGGAGCTCAGGACAGGGAATATCCAGGCCTGGAAAAGCTGGAGGAGGAGAATCCCGCTTTTCCAAAGCCTTGGAGCAGCTCCGTGTCCCGCCTGCCTCATCCCACAGGGGGAATTCGTCATCCCGAGGGAAAAACTCGGAAAACTTGGAAAAAACTGGGAGCTGAGCTGGGATAGCTGGGAAAGGTAGGATGGGAAGGGAAAGGCGGGAAGGTGCCTGGAGCCGGGAGGATCCCGGGAATGTGGTGATGGATGGATCCCGATTTTCCACGCTGGGGGAAATCCCGGCATCTCCCAAATCCCAAATGCAGCTTGGGAGGAGCCCAGAAATGTTGGGAAAGGGGCTGGGGGTTGGGAAAGCTGGGAAAGCCGGGGGAACCCTCATCCAAACTGGGAGGAGTGGGAATGCTGGGAATGGGGTGAGAATTTGGGAATTTGCAGCACTGCCAAGGATGGGACAATTCCCTTCCCAGAGGGAATTCCTCTGGCATGGCCAGGAAAGCAGCTCAGGCTGCACCAGGACGGCCCTGCAATCCCAAATTCCTGGAAAATCTTTGGGAATGCCGCGGAAGGCAGGAAACATCCCAGGGATTTTATGCCTCAGGTTTGGCTCGGAATGTTTGGTGGGATCCCGTCCCAGCTCCCAGCTGGATTTGTTTTCCTGGAGAACATCCATGATCCCGCTGTGATCCCAGGAAAGGGAGATGCTTGGCACCTGGAAAGAATTCCAAGGATTCTGATCTCCTGCTGGCACCGAGCAGGATCTGGGATCTGTGTCCCGGCCTCACCCTGCTGGAGCAGCTTCTCCATCGGCACTGGAGATTCCAGCTTTTCCAGCAGCATTCCTGAATTCCCAGAGGCACCAGAGATCCCTGAATTCCCATGAGCATCCCTGAATTCCAGCAATACCAATGATCCCTGAATTCCCATTAGGAGTAGAGACCCCAGAATTCCCATTAGGAGCAGAGATCCCTGAATTCCCATTAGGAGCAGAGATTCCCTGAATTCCCAGCCGGAGTAGAGATCCCTGAATTCCCATTAGGAGCAGAAATCCCAGAATTCCCATTAGGAGCAGAGATCCCTGAATTCCCATCAGGAGCAGAGATCCCAGAATTCCCACTAGGAGCAGAGATCCCTGAATTCCAGCGGGACTGGATCCGGGCACCCCATTCCCAGAGTGGCGCAGCCGAATCCCGGCTGGAATTCCCGAGCCGGGAATGGGAAGAGCGGATCCCGCGGGATGCGGCCCCGTGCGCGGAGAATTCCCGGATCCGGGAGCGCCTCGGGCTCCCTCTCCTGGCGCTGCCGGGAGGAATCGCTGCGGAAATCTTGGAATGGGAATCTCGCCGGGAGCACGGCTGTGGTCACCGCGGGGACGCGGCGCATCCCTTGGGATGAGCGGAATTCCATAGAAACTCAGGATCAGGGATCTGAGCAGGGGTAAGGAATGAAACCATTCCCAAAATTTCCCGTTTCCCCCCTCGCAGCACCCGCAACCCACCATGGATCATTTTCCATCTTCCCTCAGCCCATCCCTGGGGTTATCCCGGAATTTTTTTCCTGGCGCTGCCGGGCTGGATGTGAGCGGTTCCAAAAAATCCTCAGGAAAATTCCCACCTGGCTGCTGGGAATGCAGGAAGAGCAGAGTGGGATTGGCTATCCCAATCTTTCCATTGGATTGATGATCCCAATCTTTCCATTGGATTGATGATCCCAATCTTTCCATTGGATTGATGATCCCAATCTTTCCATTGGATTGGTGATCCCAACCTTTCCATTGGATTGATGATCCCAATTGTTCTATTGGATTGGCAATCCCAATCTTTCCACTGGATTGGCGATCCCAATCTTTCCACTGGATTGGTGATCCCAATCTTTCCATTGGAATGATGATCCCAATCTTTCCATTGGATTGGCAATCCCGATCTTTCCATTGGATTGGCGATCCCAACCTTTCCATTGGATTGGCAATCCAAATCTTTCCATTGGATTGATGATCCAAATCTTTCCATTGGATTGATGATCCCAGTCTTTCCATTGGATTGGCAATCCAAATCTTTCCATCGGATTGGCAATCCCGATCTTTCCATCGGATTGGCAATCCCGATCTTTCCATCGGATTGGCAATCCCGATCTTTCCATCGGATTGGCAATCCCGATCTTTCCATCGGATTGGCGATCCCGATCTTTCCATTGGATTGGCAATCCCGATCTTTCCATCGGATTGGAGATCCCAACCTTTCATGGAGATCTGTCACCCCCCCAATCCCGATCCCCCCAGGGACAGGAGGGACAATTCCAGCTTTTCCAGCTCTTCCTCAGCGCCACCATTCCCACTGAAATGAAGGATGGATGATCCTCCTTGGCAAAACCCGATCCTTAGGGAAAATCCCCCGGAGCTGCTGCCGTGGCCCTTCCAGGGATTCCGGCTCCGGGACATTACGGAGCCGCGTGGCCGAATCCCGGCACGTCCCTGGCTCTGCCCACAATTACAGAGGAACGGGAAAACCATGGATACAACACCCGGAGAGTCCTGGAATATCCGCAGCCACCAATTATCCGGAGGCTGCTGTTTGGATTCCAGAGGGGATAATTTATGGAGAAATCCAGGCCGGGCGCTCATCCCTTTGGATGGAAGTTCCTCTGGAATAACAATACCTGGCGCTGGGAGCTCACGGATAACCCAAATCCCGGGATTTGAAGGGGAGATGATTCCGTTTGTTCCGCCGGGAGCGGGAACAAACAGCTCCGTCTGCTCTGCCGCCGGCAGCTGGTTCCCATTATCCCTGGAAAAGATCCCGATTTTTCACTGGGAGGGGAATTCGGAGCCGCCTTGACTCATTCCAAGTATGAAGTGAATGCGGAGCACAAATGAAAATTCCAAGAGGAGAAGGGATCGGAGACAAGGCAGCTCCTCCCAGTGGGAGCTGAAATTCCCAATTCCAAGTGATGCTCCCAGCTTCCAAACCTCTGGAGATCACCAGGACTGGGAATTCCTGGGAAGTGTGGATTTGGGGGAGGAGCTCTTCCCAATGGAAAATCGCTTCCAAAGAAACAGGAGAGGGAAGTGGGAGCTGAAATTCCCAAATCCAAGTGGTGCCCTCGGATTCCAGTCATCTGGAGATCACCAGGATTGGGAATTCCTGGGGATGGAAGCTGAGCATTCCATAGGATGGGAAAGCTTGGGAGAGGATGACGGAAAGGGAGCAAGGCAAGGGATCCAGGGAAGAGATTTTGGAGGAAAAATCAGGAATTTAGGGAATTTGAGTGTCCAAGAACAGGTTGGATGAGGCTTGGAGCCGCCTGGGATAGTGGGAATTGTCCCTGCCCATGGAATGGGATGGGTTTGAGGTTCCTTCCCACCCAAACCATTCCAGGATTCCATCATTTTTGTATATCTATATTTTAGCCTATCCCACCTTCCTTATTTCCCACCCATCCGGATTTGTTTGGAAGTGGAAAAGCAGCAGGATGGAGGAAGAGGAAGCTGTGGGATCCCGGGAAACCCCGGCAGAAGAGGATTAAGTGAGGGATTTGTGGGAAAATCCAAGAAGATTACAAAAATCCCATGGAATCCAGCTGGACTGAGGTGGGAATCTCCCTGTGTGGGCGGCTCTGCCTTGTCCCCATTCCCAAATCCAACATTTTCCCAATATTTTCCCAACATTTTCCCAGCATCCTTCATGGACTAAGAGTTATGGTGACCCCCTGGAATTATCTGGCAAAATTCCTCTCTTTTTCCAATGCCAATGGATAAAGCTCAAGGAATCAGAGGGGGGAAAGTGGGAAAAAATTTTGGGATAAACACTGCACCAGCATCCAGGTTTATGGGGGTATTCCCAATCCAGCAGCATTTGGATCCCATGGAATCCCTGAGCTGTGGGAGCTTCCAGGAAATTCCCAGAGTTTTTGTATCCTGAATTCATCTCCTATAGGGAGCGACATCCCAGGAATGGGAATGAGCACGGAGCCTCCCAGAGGGAATCCCACCTGAACCTCTGGAATTCTGGGGGCTCCTTTCCCACCCCTCCCCATCCTGGGGCTTCCCAGGCTCCTGCATGGATATGGAATTCCACAACAAGGGAATTCACGGCCGCCCCGTTCCCGTCTGCCGGGGAAAAGCTGGATTTGGGCGCTGCGGGATCCGGTGGCAGTCGGAAAACAGCGGGAGCGGAGCATGGAAAAGGCTCCTGGCAGGAATCCCGCTGGAAGGCAGCCCAGGGAATGGAAGGAGCGTTTTCCATGCCTGGATCCGATGTTTGATGGATGAGTTCGGCACTTGGCTCCAAGGGGAATTTTAAAGGCAAACCCGACACCTTTGGCTCGGCTCCTGGTTTTCCCCTCGCTCCAGGAGCGTTCCCAAATTTCCCTGGGATGGCAGGGAAGGGACCAAGACCCCCCTGGTGCCTCCCACTGGGCCAAGGATCCCCAAAATTCCCAGGAATGGGAGCAGGGCTTGGAAAGGGCCGTGATGGGAGCCCCCAGCCAAAGCTCCTCGTTCCCGCCAGAATTCCCAAGATTTCCATGCACCATCTGCCGGTCCCACCCCGTTTTACGGGAGCCATCCCGGAATTCTGGGGGCTGATCCCAGAGATCACCACAGCATTTGAGGGAAGATCCCAGCATCCATCCCAGAATTTTGGGGCAGATCCCAGGATCGATCCCAGAATTTGGAAGAAGATCCCAGATCCATCCCAGATTTTTGTGGGCTCTGAAACCAGGATCCACCCCACAATTTTTGGGAAGTTGATCCCAAGATCCATCCCAGAATTTGGGAAGCTGATCCCTGGATTCACCCCAGGACTTTGGGGTTAATCCCAAGATCCATCCCAACATTTAGGGGAGCTACAGCCAGAATCCTTCCCAGAATTCTGGGAAGCAGATCCCAGAACTCCTTCCAGAATTTTGGGGAGCGGATCCAAGGATCCATCCCAGAATTTTGGGGAGCAGATCCCAAGATCCATCCCAGAATTCTGGGGAGCACATCCCAGGATCCATCCCAGCATTTTGGGAGGATACTCCTGGGACCCATCCCAGTATCTGGGGCAGGCCATTCCCTGTTTTCCTGTGTGGAAGAAGCTGGAATTCTGCTTCCCTGTTTTCCTGGCTCTGGGAAGAAGAGCTGATGCTGTGGGAGAGGCTGGAATTCTGATTCCAGCTTTTTTTTTTTGAGCAATTCTCCGGAACTCTGAGCTCAGCAGAGCCGCTGGATCGGGAATGACAGATCCACGTGCTCCGGCTTGGAGCCACTCCCGGGTATCCAGAGGGACAAATCCCGATCCCAAACCCAGCTCTGGAGTGGGGTTTGCTGGTCCTGAGCTTGGATGGGAAGTGGGAAAACCTTTGGAGCGGGATAAAATCCCTGCGTGCCCCGCCCCCAGCTCCTCCTGCGCTGAAATTTGGGAATTTGGGAATTTGTTGTCATTCCCAGCCTGTGTTTACATTCCTGGTTTCCAGCCTGGCTCTTCCCAAATTCCCGAGGCAGCTGCATCCAAGGCCAGACGCCTCCCACAGGTCGGCATCAAGGACCAATCCTGAAAAAATCCTGAAAACCTCCTGGGATGATCCCAAAAAATAGAGAAGGAGGCTTGGGAATGAGGGGAGATGGAAGCACAAAATCTGTGGGATTTGGAGGAGCTGGGATTTGGATCCAGGGATTTGTGGGCGCCATGCCTGCCCATGGAGAGGGATTGGAATGGGATGAGCTCCCCATTCCATGATTCCATGAGGAATTCCTGCTATCCAGAGGTTTTTCCAGACAAACAAAAGCTTTTCCCGGATCCAGGGGTCAGCTGGGAGCACACGGCCGGAGCAGCCTCCCCCTTCTCCAGAGTTTTTGAGGAGTCATCCAAGGATTTTAATCTGGGAAAAACACGGGATCTTCCCTTTGGGAATGGTTGATGTCATTCCGATATCGTCCAGCTGAACTCGCTCCCTGGGATGAAACATTCCCTGTTTTCTCCTCCCCTCTCCCAGTTTTCCCTTTTATTTTCTCCCAGTTTTTCCCCCCTTTCTTCTCAGTTTTTCCCTTGTTTTCTTCCCAGCTCCCCCTCACTTTTCTTCCCAGGTTTTTCCGCCCTTTTTTCCCAGTTTTCCCCCTCTTTTCCTGGAGGATTTGAGCCCTGGGCCGGTGTCACCGAGCCGGAGGTGCCACCCCGGAGGTGCCACCGGGGTCCCCCTGAACCCTTCACATCCCTGGGGGATGCACCAGGATTCCAGGTGGGAATTCCAGACTGGCACAGATGGTTCCAGATTGGAATTCCAGACTGGCACAGCTGATTCCAGGTGGGCATTCCCAACGGGCACAACTCATTCCAGGCTGGAATTCTCAATGGGCACAGCCAATTCCAGGCTGGAATTCCTGATGGGCACAGCTGATTCCAGGTTGGAATTCCCAATGGGCACAGCCAATTCCAGGTTGGAATTCCAGACTGGCACAGCTGATACCAGGTGGGAATTCCCAATGGGCACAGCTCATTCCAGGTGGGCATTCCCGATGGGCACAGCCGATTCCAGGTTGGAATTCCAGACTGGCACAGCTGATACCAGGTGGGCACTCCTGGCTGGCACAGCTGCTTCCAAGTTGGAATTCCCAATGGGCACAACTCATTCCAGGTGGGCATTCCCGATGGGCACAGCCGATTCCAGGCTGGAATTCCCGATGGGCACAGCTGATTCCAGGCTGGAATTCCCACCTGGAATCCGCTCCCTAAAGGGTGTCCCGGCTGGAAAGGGCCGTCCCCATTCCCAACCTTTCCCTCCTCCCCGCTGCCCTGGTCCCTCCCACTCCCTCCCAGCGCTCTCCCGCTGTCAGGGAGCCGGGAAAAGTTTGGGATAAGGCTCGGGATCTGGGATCGGAGCTCCCAGTCCCGCCGATGCTCGGGAGCGGGGATTGGGGCAGCCGGCGATTCCATGGATATTCCCAGCGGGATTCTCCTGGCCTGCTCCCTCTGCCTCCTGCCCGGTGAGTGCCCATCCCAACCCCCCCCAGAAAAACCGGGAATTGCTTGGGAAAAGTGCTGGAGAGACCTTCACGCGGCTCTTGGAAAACTTCTGCCGGGAGCGGGAGGCTGCTGGAAAGGGATGGAGATCCCGGAATTCCCGGGAAGCTCCCGGTGCCTCCTCGGCCTTGGAGCGGGATTAATCGGGATAATCCCAAAGGATCGGATACTGGGGGGAAGGAAAGCTCCGTTTTCCCGAAATGCGGCTTTCCTGAGGTTTGTCCCGTTGGAAAACCGGGAATGCTCGGGGTTAAATTTAGGAGAGGCTTTAGGCGGAGTTTAATTCCAGGAGCGGATCCTGCGGCTTCTCCCGTTCTGCTCCGGGGGGTTGGGATGGATTTTTCAGTTTTTCCCTGGGTTTTTTTCCTTGGGAAAAGCGGCTCCCCATTCCTGCTTTAATCCCATCTGGAATCCACCCGCGCCGGGAGCTGCAGAGTGGGGGGGAAACGGGAAACGGGGAAGAAAACTTGGGGAAAAATCGGGAAAAAAGCGCTTTTCCCCAATGCCAGGAGCTCGGCCACCGGCTCGCGCCTCCTCCAGCTGCAAACATTCCCAAACTTCCTGCTGGAAAACGCGCCAGGCTGCTCGGGGGTTTTATGGAATTGGCGCTTTTTGGGATTTTTTTTTTCCCTTTCTGCCGGGGGAGCCGCGGCCGAGCTGCTTTTCCTGGAATAATTGGATCCATGTGTGGATGGAGGGATGGATGGATGGAGGGATGGATGCGGCTCTGGAATGGGATGCTGGAAAAATCCTGGCAGCTGCCAGATTCCCGGGAAATTCCCCCATGGACACGGTGCTGCTCCATAAAGGGGTGGGGTGGAGGGGGTGGGTAATGGAAGGGGGATTTGGGAATTCTGCCTTGGGATGTGTGGAAATGATCCCTGAATTTACGCCCTGGGATGAAACATTCCCTGCTTTTCCCTCCTCTCTCCCATTTTTTTTCCCCCCATCCCTGGATTTTCCCACAGGGATTTCCATCCTGGGGAATTTCTGTCCCTGGATGAAGTTTCCGTCCCTGGATGTTTCTGGATCCAGGGATTTTGTGGGAATTCTGGAAGCACAAAGTCCTGCTGTAGCAAAGCCCCTCCAGAGCCGTTTTTTGGGAAACGATTTTGTGGGAAAGCAGGAATGTTCCGGGATGACTGAGCTTCTGTTCATCCCCAGCATTCCCGGCCTTCCCATGCCAATCCTGGGATTTTTCCTAACAAACTCTGGGAGCTGGCAGCATTCCCTTGGATTCCCAGGAATTCAAGCCCACCCTGCTGCTTCCCAAAGTTTTTCCCCAAATTTTTTTTTATCCTTTAGCAAGTTTTCCTTGTCCAGCTCAATATTCCCTCTCCAGGAATTCCATCCCGAGCTCCAGCAGTGCCAGAAGCCAGGGAAAAAAAACTGGATTTTCCTGACAGCCCAAGAAAAACTGGGATATTCTTCCAGGGAATCCGAAAACTTTGGGGCAAAGGCAGCAAAATCCAGCCCCAAACGTTCATGGAAGGAGAACCAGGGTTGGGAATCACAGGAAAACTCTTCCCAGAGTTCCTTTTCCAGCTGGGAATCCCAAAGGATTCAGGCAGGGCAATTTCCACCTTTTTTCCCCCTTCCCCTCCTCCTTTTTTCCCTTTTTTCCCCTCATTTCCCCCCCAGATCTTCCAATTTTTTCCCAGTTTTCCCCTTTCTCCCCCCTATTTTCCCCCTTTTTTTTCCCCCTTTTCCCCCCATCTCTCCCAGTTTCCCCCCCTTTTTCTCCCCATTTTCCTGGTGCCGGCACCTTTGGAATCATCTCAATCCCGGAAATTTCCCTTCCAGGACTTCTTTCTATCCTGATTTTTTACCCTGGCAGGAAGGGTGGATTTTATTCCCATCCTTCTTTCCCAAAGATTTTCCTTCTTTCCAAAATTTTTCCTGAATCAAAAGTTTGGATGCTCCAGAAGCTCCAGGGAAAAGGAGGAATTTGAGGCTTCCTGCCCTCGGAATTCCAAGGAAAACCTGGAGCTTTTGGTCAATTCTTTGGGATAGTGATGTCATTCCCAGCAGGAAAATCTCTCCAGCTCCCAAATCTCCTGAAAAAAACTCTCCAAAAATTCCCATTTCAGCCAGAGTTGGTTGGAATATTCCTGGTTGGAATATTCCCAATATTTATTTTATTCCTTTCATTTTGTTGGAATTTTGAGGTTCCATCCATTGCTTGGAATCTTCTCTCCCAGATTTTTTGCTTCCCTGGGATTGGGATGCTCCAGCAGGAGCCACTCTCAGCACTCCTCCCTGTTTTCCCAGAGATTTGTCATTTCATGGAATATTTCTGTTCCTTTTCCAGAGTTTTATCCTAAACCATGGAATGGGATTCTCCAATTTATCCCGCTGTTCCCATTCCCAAAAATCCTCAGCCTGAGGGTCTGCAGTGCAAAATCCAGGAAAATTAACAGGAAAATCCATCCCACCCTCTCCAATACTTCCTCTGCATCCAAGACTCTTCCAGATCTTGGAATTTCTTGCTGGGAATCCAAAATTCCCAAAATTCCCCTTTTCCTTTCCCATCGTTCCATGGCCAATCCCAGCTTCCCTCTCTCCCGAGGTTTTCATTTCTTTGGGATGTGAAATGAGGTCAACGCTCCACAAAATATCTTGGCTCTCATCCCTGTCTCCCGTTATTTTTTATCCCAGGTTTTTTTATCCCAGCTTTCTAGAATTTCTTCCTGGATCATTTGGGAGCTCCTTCTCCTCAGGATCCGTGGCCAGATTCCTCCATTCCCTGCTCCAGGAGCGGATTTGTTCCCAAGATTCCAAACATTCCCTTTTTCTCCATCATTCCTGCCTATCCAAACATTCCCATCCTGGATTTTTCCGCCTGGGAAGCAGCAGTGCCAAGTTTTCCTGCCAGGAAATTCCAAACTGTGCCTCCTGTCCCCGTTCTGGAGGAGGATTCCCAGGTTTTTCCTGGAATGAAGCATCCAGCAGGATTCAGGGAATGCAGTCTGGGATATCCTGGTTATCCGTGTCCATCCTGCCGCTCTATCCCGGAATTTGGGCCCTGTCCCTCTGTTCCCATGGATAGCATCTCCAGCATTCCCAAGATTCCCACTCCTGGGGGGATTCCCAATTTCCCCACCTGGATCTGGCTCCAGGCACAGGGAGGAGCTGCCAGAAAATTCCCCAAATTTTGCTCCAGGGACAGGAAATTTCTCTGGAATTTGTCCCCCGGGAGCAGCAGAATCCTGGGATTGGGATGCCGTGGATCCTGCTCCCGCTGTTCTGTGGGAAGTGGCATTTTCCAGAGGATTCATAGGGAAAGGACCAATCCCAAAAATCTCCCTGTCCCAGCTGGAATTCCATCCTTGGGGATATCCCCCTCTGGAGCTGCCTCTGCCCAGCTCCTGCTCCCACAGGGAATGGGAATCCCAGCTTTGGATCCTTGGGAAAACCCTTGGGAGCGGCCAGGATCCTTTTTCCATGGATCCCATCCCATGATCCCCTTGGAAGTGACTGAATCCATGGATTCCAGAGGGAGGAGCTCCTTTCTCCTTCCCCTTCCCATCCTGGCTCCAGGGAATTCCCAGGATGAGCTGTTGAGGGCTGAATTCCAGGAATTCTGAATCCTAAACGAGCTCCAAGCTCCATCCCAAGGATTGGATATTCCCTGGGAGCTCCAGGATGGAGAGCAGAATTTTGGGAAGCTGCAGATGGGGCTGGGCTGGAATGCTTTGGAATTCCCATCCTGGCTGGGATGGGAATGGGATCAACCCATCCCTGCTCCCGCAGCATCTTCAAAAATTTGGGAGCAGCTTTCCCGGGATGGGCAAGGTTGGAAACGCCTCTGGAATCACCGAATCCAACCCCAAGCGGGAGCACCTGGAGCGGAATGGGATTGGAATAATTCCATGGCTGGAACCTTTCTGAGATTTGGGAATTCCGAGTTCATCCGTATGGAATTGGTGTTTTCCAGCTTTTTGGCTGACGGATCCTTCCCTTTTTTTCCCCAGGATTCGGGAATTCCTTCAACATCGACACCAAGAGGCCCCAGATCATCGCGGGATCCAGGGAATCTTTTTTTGGATACACGGTGCAGCAGCACGACATCGGCGGCAAGAAATGGTGAGTGGGCTCCGGAAAACCGGGAATTCCAGTGGGAATTTCAGCGGGAATTACACCAAACCACCCCAAATCACCTCCAGAATTCCCAAGAATTGCTGGGCCAGGATGTGGTTGCTCCTGGAGGTGCACAACGAAGGAAAGGTTTTCCTTTAAAAAAGAGGGATTTGGGGTGGGATAAGGGAATATTGGGAATTTGGGAAGGTGGGGATGGAGGGGGTGTCCTGGCTGGATCACGATTCCTTGGAGACCCCGGGCCTGGAATCCATCTGGAATTTGGGTCTAGGCCATCCCGGCTTTTACAGTTTCCACGGAGGAGCTGGGGCCTGGAGAATTGATCCATCGGGAATATCCATCGGGAATGTGGGATGAGCCTGGGATTAGCTCAGGTTTGGGATTTGGGGTGGGTTTGGCTGATCCCAGGGATGAATCCCAGGGAATCCCAACCAGATGTTGGCAGAGACCTTTGGTGCATTCCAAGAGCACATCCAGATGCTTCAAAGCCCATGGAATTCCTGGAATTCCCTGGAATTTGGGATCTACTCCCCAGGTGGATGAATCCAGACTTAATCCTGTAATTAATGTAATGGATTCTCCTGGAATTCCAGAATCCAACCTTTGCCACTTTTGGAAAACCCTCCCATGCCCTGAACCTGAGATTCCCATTCCATGGAATTTTGGGAAGTCAGGGTCTCTCTTTCCATGGCTCCCAGCCCCGTTTTCCACCAGGACTGGGAGTTTTTCCCGTTGGAATTGCGCATCCTATGGAAGGGATGAGAGCTGGGAGTTCAGTGTTTCCCAGGATTCGGAGGAAATTGCTGGAAAATCCCAATTTGGGGAATTTTCTCATCCCAGTTGTACCCATAGGAGCAGTTTGCAGCTGAGGGGCTGCAATTCCCATGATTTTAGGATCTCTTATCCCGTTTTTCCATGCCACCACCACTGATGGGGTGGCCAAGGGCTGAATTCCCTGGAAACTGGGAATTTTTTCCTGCTTTCCCAAGCAGGACCAAAGACCATCCCTGGCTTCTTTTCCCAACTTTTCCTGCCAACATCCACTGGATCCACCTCTAGTTTTCCCTCCTGTTGGCTCCTCTGCTTGGAAAAATGGGAATTTTTCCAGCGGGATCCTACGGATGGACACGGACATAAAAACTCAGGACAGTGCCGCTGGAATCTGCAATTGAGCAGGAAAAATTCCAAGGTAAAATGTGGACACAGCTGAAAAATGGAGAAACCTGGGAGCAACCGGAAACCTCTGGAATAAAAACCCATGGATGTTTAGAGGGAGCTGGACAACAATTCCAGGAGATGGACAATTCCAGGAGCTGGATAATTCCAGGAGCTGGATAATTCCAGGAGCTGAGACCACAATTCCTGCTGTGCATCTTCCAATCCCATCCCAAAGAATTCCACAAAATCCACTGGAATACAGGGGAGACTCCGTGGTTCTCTCAGAATCCCGGCTGTGGATGTGCCGGGATCCAGCTGCCAAATTCCAAGCGCGGAATCCGAGGATTTTGGCACCTCTCCTTCAGTCTGAGCCTTTTAATGCTGCTTTTGGCTGCCGGGAATTGTTTGGGAATGGATTCCAAGAATTCTGTGTTTATGTTTTTTTCCATATATATTTCTAAAGGAATACTGGAGCGGCTCCAAGCAGATTGGATTTTCCAGGTATTTTTGGAAGTTGGGAATTTCCCCCTTTTCCAGACTTTTCAAGGAGCCACCCAGACTCATGGAAGTGCATCCCAGAGAGCGGAAAATCCGTGAGGAAAAATTTCAGGTTATTAAACTCTTGGGGGGAAAAAAATCCCACTTGGATTTTTAATGCTGGAAAAGCTCATCCATGTGGGATTTGATTTTGCTCCGGCATTTTCCAGAGCAGTGAGGGGTTTCCAGACCTCCTTTTCCATACTTTTTCCATCTTTTCCGTGGAGCTGGAGGTGCCTTCTCCAAGCGGGGATGGAAAAGATGACAACAGGTGCCTGGAATTCATCCCAAAAACCACCGGAGCTCCATGGAATGGCAGCTTCCCGCTCCTGGAGCTGGCAGGGAAAGGGGGACCTGGAATTATGGGATCGGAGCATTCCCAGCATCCAAACAGGATTTTTGGGAAAACTGGGAAAAATGGGAACTCCCTGTGCTGCTGGGACAAAATGACCTGGGAGGAATTTTGGGATAAGGAGAAGGAATTTCTGGAAGGACAGAGGGGTTTTGGAGGGTTTAAATCCCAAATCCCAGCAGGTTGGACGCTCTGGATGGATTTCTTCGGGAATAATGAGCAGAATTCCCACAGGTGGGATGTGTAGCCCTTAAAACCTGGAAGGTCTCATGGGAATGGGAGCTCCTGGATGCTTGGGGCAAACACAACCTGGAATCTCCTGGAATTTTGGGAAGAATCTTCCTGGAGGTCCCAGAGTGGGGAAAAAAGGGAAAGAATTCCCTTCATCTTTCATCTCCCCCTTCCCGTCATTCCAGGAGTTGTGGCTGGGAGCATTCCAGAGCTCCTTTTCCAAGGAATCCTGGAGAGGGACACCTGGAGCCCAATTCCTGGAATTTTTGGGATGCTGGACGCTCCAAGGGAGATTTCCTTATCCCAGCCTCGTATCCCACTTATCCAAAGGGGAAGTTCTGATCCCAAAACTCTGCCCTGGGAGCATCCCAAAATGCCTTTTCCAAGGAATCCTGGAGAGGGGCACAAACAAGGGACAGGCAGCGGCGACAAATCCGTGTCCGGACCCCAAATCCCAGAAAACAGCGGATAACGGGAGCAAAGGCAGCCCAAGGAACTCTGGAATACCGTGGGCAGCAGGAATGCCACATTCCCATTTTCCCGGTGTTTTTTCCCCCATTTTTTGGGATGTTAAGGAGGCATTTCCAGGTTCAGCCTTTCCGTGGCTTCTGGCTCAGTCGGGATTTTCCACAGAGCCGTTCTGGGATCTGTGTCCACAGGGTTCTGTGGGATCTCCAGCTTCCCAAGAAAACTGGGAATTTCCCAGGTGACTTTTCCCAATCTCCCACTCCCACCCTGAACAAACCCTTCTCCCTCGGAAGCACTGTTGATTCCCAGATTTTTTTGCCACCCCATCCCTGGAAAGTTTAAATCCAGGAATGTTCAAACTTCCAGAGCAACCTCTGGAAGTGGGGCTGGAATGACCCAAACCATTCCATGATTTCCTTGAAAATCAGGCCAAAAAGAGGGAAAATCCCCAAAAAAACAGGGAATAGAGTGAGCTGCAGCAGATTCTGCATCCCAGGGTGGGAGGGAGAGCCGGGAGCAGACATTATGGAATTCTCTGCGCTTCCACCAAAATATTCCAAGCGCTCCGGCAGCGGCCAAGCCACGGGAGAATTCCAGCCAAGAAAACCTCTGGCAGGAGCTGGAAAACAGAAACCCCTGGAAGTGTTTTTCCAGATCAGCACAGTTCTGGCTTTCAATCCAGCCAGAGGATTTTTCCCTCTTTTTTTCTTTTCCCTCCTCCCTTTCCCTTCGGCCGGGCTCGGACCGGGAATGTCCAGGGTCAGGGTCTGGAGCTCAGGGGTGCAATGGGATGAACTTTAAGCTTTTTCCCACCCAAATCATTCCAGAATTCCTGGATTTCGCTGGTTTGGAGCTTTTCCCAACCCTGCAGGCATGGACACATCCCATTCCCATCTGGGCCGGAAAACTGGGAATTAGGACCCAGCTCTGGGCTCTGCTTGGAGAGCAATGTCCTGGGGTATCCCTGCTTTTGCTCTCCTTGTTTTTTCGGGATGAAAGTTCAAAATCCATCCTCAGACAGCTCGGAGCACTCAGAGCTTTTCCCACTTAATCCCTGTTGGTTTTTTTCCCTTTGTTTTCTCCGGGAGCAGGGAACGGAGAGGGAGGCGAGGCAGGAATTGTTTGGTTCTGATTTTCTTTCAAAGCCTCCTTTTTTGGCCAAGTTGTGATGCGGGAGCCGCTTCCCTTTTGGGAATCCAGGGCAAAATCGGGAGATTTGGGATGATCCCAGAATGTGTGGAGGGGGAAAGCTTGGAAAGAAACCAGGAACGTCTCCCTTCTATAGCAGAATGCTCCAGTTTTCTTGGGATGATGTGGATTACTTGGATATTTTTGAGAATTTGGGATAACCCATCCCAAATCCCTGTTTGGTTTTTTTTGGGTTTTTTTTTGAGTAAAAATCCAGGATTTTTAGCCTGAATTTCCAAGTAAAGTAAGAGTGGAGCAGCATCCCTAAAAACACCTTCCAAACAGCTGTAGAAGCCTTTTTCCCAAGCTGCCAAGTTTCCATGAGGATTTGACAGCTCCAGCTGATGAATCACTCCCATTTCACTGAAAAAGGAAAATAATTCCATTGTTTTTTGGGAGACAAGAATTCCGGCTTCGGGAGCTCTGCAGCCGCTCCGCATTCATGGCAAAAATCTGGGAATGTTTGGGTTTCCTTTGGGTTTGCCTTGTCATCCCAAAGGGATGATCCAACCCCAAACCCGCTGGTTTTTTGGGAATATTGCTGAATGGGTGGTGTGATCCAATATTAATGAATGGAAAAGTCTCCAAGAGGATTCCCTGCAGGATGGGGGGGACACATCAAGCTGGAGCTGCTCCCAGAAGTTCAGGAATTTCCATGTATCTGAAATTCTTTGGGAATTGGGAATTACACCAGGAGATCCTCGTTTTCCACTGAGCCTCCACCTTTATTCCTCCTCATCCTCAAGGTTTTCCCATACCTTTTCCCAGCCTTCCATGTTTTCCCTTTTCTCCACAACCAAATGGGTATGAGCGTGTGGGAAAGCCTCAGGAAAATGAGCAAATTCCCAAAAATCCAGATTTTCCTGGATGCTGTTGAGGACAGCTCCAGCTGGAGATGATTTTCCTGTTGTGAATTCCCACATTAAGGCGTAAGACAGGAAGTGTTTCCATGAGAATCCTTGGATTCGGGAGCTTTTCCTTGGGTGAGCGATTCCGGTTTGGGATAAAAGAATGGGATGTTTGTCTTTGGAGCAGCAACATTTTTAAGGAATGACAATTCCTGGTCTAACAGGGAACATCTGTGCCGGTGGCTTTTCCAGCTGCTGGGAAGGGCCCCGTGGAACAAAAGAGCTCCTGTTTATCTGGAGATCCAGACTGGGATGGTTGCATCCATAGGATTTTTGGGAGGCTAAAAAATTTTTTTAAAAAATCCCATTTATTTTGGGAGCAGGAGTTGTCATCAGCTCGTGGTGCTGAGGATTTTTGGGATAGCCTGGAAAGAAGGGATGGATTCCTTAGGTCCCGCACTCTTCCTGCTTTGGGGTTGCTGGGTTGAAATGCTGTGGTCAAGGAAGAGTGGGAAAAGTGTTTGGATGTCCCAAAAATATCCTGACTGGAAGTTGGTGTCCTTGCTGGGGATGGGATTTAGCAGCTCCCTTCTTTTGGAGAGCAGGAAAATTCCCGATGTCCGCTGGCGATCCCAATGTTCGGCTCCCGACGTTCGAAACAACTCCAGCTCAGAGCAAATTCCCTTTTCCAGGGTTTTCCTGGGGAAAATTCCTTCCCAACACTGGAGATCACCATGTTCATCTCCCACTGCTCGTAACAACCCCAGCTTGGAGAAAATTCCCTTTTCCAGGGTTTTCCCTGGGAAAATTCCTTCCCAATTTCCTCACCCACCACTGGAGATCCCAATGTTCAGCTCAGGGCTGTTCATAACAACTCCGGGTTGGAGCAAATTCCCTTTTCCAGGATTTTCTGGGGGGAAATTCCTCGTGGATCCCAGTGGGATCTGCTGGAAGAGCTCCACCAGCTCCTTGTTATTCCTTCTGCTGGAATCCTGCATCCATATCCATGTCCTGGAGATCTGGGAATGAAATGGGAGGTGTCTCCATATCCATGTCCTGGAGATGTTCTGGGAATGAAGTGGAGATGTGTCTCCATATCCATGGAGGGGGTTGGGATGAGATGATCCTTAAGGTCCCTTCCATCCCAAACCATTCCATGACCCTATGGAAAGGCTCCTCCATAGGCAGTGGAGAGAAGGGACAATCCATGGGTTCCTCAGCTGATTCCAAGGGATTTGTTGCTTCCAGAAGAGTTTGGAGCCCTCCCTCCCTGCCAGGAATCTGTTCCTTGCGGCTGATGGGAATGAATTCCATAATTCCGCGTGGCAGAGTCACATTCCCAACTTCCTGCTGCTCCAGCGGGAAGAGAAGGAGAACCTGTCCTTCCACTGAGGTTGGGACCCTCTCCTGCTGCTCCCAAATCTGGGAATTGCGGCTGAGGAATCCTTTTTCCCAGGGCATTCCCGTTGTCCCGGTGCTGATGGATCCGTGTTTTCCGCAGGCTGGTGGTGGGAGCTCCGTACGAATCCAACGGGCAGCAGAAGACCGGAGACGTCTACAAGTGTCCGGTGCTGAGTGATGGCCACGGAAACTGCACCAAGCTCAACTTGGGTATGGCGTTCCAGACCCAAATTATCCCAAATTATCCCTGAAAAAATGGGATATTGGGAAGGGATTCCTCCCCGCGAAGGTGGAATTCCCGGAGAAGCCCCTGGATCCCTGGAAGTGTCCAAGGCCGGGTTGGACGGGGTTTGGAGCACCCTGGGATGGTGGAAGGTGGCACTGGATGGGCTTTAAATTGCTTCCATCCCAAATAATTCCATGATTCCCAGTTTGCTTCCCAAAGGGGGAGATCTGGCCCATGGGGAGCTGCGTTTTCCAGAGGAACGGTTGGATCAGGATTTGGGACACAGATCAGTGACCAATCCCATTTAGGATGGACAGGGCTGTCCTGGGGGGATTTCTGAGCTGTGCCATGGAAAAACAGGGATTCCGTGGGAATCCAGGATGAGGAGCTGAGCCCTCTGAGGGGTTGCCTCCTTTCCAGCTCCCAGTCTCATTCCCAAAAAAAACGTTCCTTCCTTGGTTGTTCATCTAGGGAAAACCCCAATTCTCACCTTCCAAAAATTCCCAAAACCTGGAGTGAAGCCGGCAGAGATTCTTCTCCAGCACGCAATTCCCAGCTGCTCCGGAGATTCCGGGGAGCATTCCAGATTTCTCGGGAATGTCCAGATTTCCCTGGATCAGCCACCAGCCTGGGAATCCAGGATGAGGAGCTGAGCACTCCGAGGGATTTTCTCCTCCCCAACTCCCAGCCTCATTCCCCAAAAAATTTTCCTTCCTTGGTTTTTCATGAAGGGAAAACCCCAATTTTTCCAATTTTTTTCTCACCTTCCAAAAATCCCCAAAACCTGGAGTGAAGACTTTTCTCAGCACACAATTCCCTGTTGCTGTGGAGATTCCAGAGGGCCTTGTGGATTTTCTGGGAATATCCCTGATCCCAGCCTCTCTCCCAAGGATGGGTGATGTTGTTTTTTTCCCGTTTTTTTCTCACCTCCCAAAAATCCCCAAAACGTGGAGTTACACCAGCAGAGATTCCTTTCCGGCACACAATTCCCGATTGCTGTGGAGATTCCAGGGGGAATCTGGGATTTCCCGGGAATGTCCCTAATCCCAGCCTCTCTCCCAAGGGCGGGTGACGCTGTCCAACGTGTCCGAGCGCAAGGACAACATGCGCCTGGGCCTGAGCCTGGCCACCAACCCCAGGGACAGCAGCTTCCTGGTGAGCAGAATTCCTGGGAATGTGGGCTGGAAATCCGGGAATGCGCGGCAGGGCGGGAAGGCGCCAGGAGGTTCCTGTCAGTGGGTTTTTGTTTATGGAGTGTAGGGAGAGTTGTAGGGGTTTATTGATAAAATAAAATGAAAGATAAACAAACCGCAATGCGATAAGATGGAATTAAATGGAATTAAATGAAGTAAAATGGAATAAAATTAAATTAAAGAAAATGAAATTAAACACATCCATGGAAAAGGGATCCCTTGAACCAAATTCTGCTTTTTTTACCCCGCCAGGCCTGCAGCCCCCTGTGGTCCCACGAGTGCGGCAGCTCCTACTACACCACGGGAATGTGCTCCCGCGTCAACTCCAACTTCCGCTTCTCCAGAACCGTGGCTCCGGCTCTGCAGAGTGAGGACCGAGATTCCCGCTCCGATCACAGCTTCGATCCCAGCTCCAATCCCGGTTCCAATCCCTGCTCCAATCCCGGCTCCAATCCCATCTCCAATCCCATTTTGGCTGCACAAAACAAAGCCCTCATTGACCTGGAGTTCAATATGTTGGGATTTGGGAGCCGGGATTTTATTTTGGAGGGTTTAAGTGATGTTTCCTGCCTTTCCTGGAGCTGGGAAGGATTCCCAGAAGCCTGTCCTGCTCCTGGGAGCTCCTCATCCCATGGGATGTGATTCCCCAGCTCCAGAACTCTGCTGGTGCTGGTTAATTCCCAGGGCAAATGGGCTGGTAAAAATGGGTTTTGGAGGGGATCAAGCCAGGAAAGGCAGAGCCCACCGCCAAATTACCAGGGCATAAAGAGGGCCTTGGAAAAAATGGGATTTTCGGGATCATGGTAGTTAAGGCATCATCAAATTCCCAGTGTCACTTCCCTTTGTTATATTCCAGCCCTCTCTGCAAAGGATAATTGGGATTTCAGGGATTTCTAGGAAGTGTTTATTTAATGGGATGCAGAGTCAGCTCCTCTCCCTGATTCCCGGGATGGGATGGAGATGGAGGCACCCAGAGGATCCCAGTCACTCCAATCCATGGATTCCTTCATCCATAAAAACCTATAGGGTGAAAGAGCAGCCGATAAATCTCTGAAATCCAGGATCATCAAGGAACGCTGTAAAACATCAGCAAGACTGAGATGATCCTCAGCAATTTTCCCCACTGGAAAAAATCCTTAAATCCTTCCTGCTCCGGCTGCGGAGCTGAGCCCTGGGGTCCCCTCCGGGGTTTTTGGCTGCCTCGGAGCCGAGGATTTCATGGGAAGGGAGGAAATGCCCGCCTTGTGTTCCATGGCAGGGCTGGGAATGACTCAGGGATCAGGAACGGCTCTGCGGGAGGAACGGAGCCGGATCCTGCTCCTCTTTGAAGTGTGGAATGATATTAAACGGGATCAAATTCCAAAGTTGAATCCCAAATGATGCCGCTGAGTGTTATTCCTAGGAAGTGATCCCATCTTTTCACAGTGGAGAGGATTCCTGTGGCTTCTCCCCACCTTGCTGGAGCCCAAAGTTCTTTCCCAAATTATTTAAATCAGATTTTTTTTTCCCCCAGAAATCCTGAGAGGAAGTACCTGGCTGGAAGTGAAGCCATAAATCTGCCCCTTTGCAGGAGGACTTTTAATAAATCCCTGGATTTTCCACAGGATGCCAGACCTACATGGACATCATCATCGTTCTGGATGGATCCAATAGCATTTATCCGTGGGTTGAAGTCCAGCACTTCCTGATAAATATCCTGAAAAAGTTTTACATCGGTCCTGGACAGATCCAGGTGAGGCTCCGAACTGTTTGTGTCATCCCAGGGCCATTCCCAATGTCCCTTTTTTGTCAAGCTGCTGGAATTAGTCAAAATATTGGGATTTTTTAACTTATCCCATGGGAAAGAAACGCTCCCATTAATGTCCCTAAGTGGGCTGTGGAGGGATCCCACATCCCAATGGGAACAGGGAGGATGAAACCCATGGAAAGGAGCTCTGCATGCTCTTGCTCCGAGTAATCATGGGTTGATTTAGGCAGGAATTTAAGCTGGAATATCCCAGATTTTCCCAAATAACCCAGTTTGGTCCCACCTGGTGATGCTGTGGGTCCAAACTGGCACAGTGGAGCGCGGCACATCTGGATCACCCCAAAACTTGGGAGCAAAGCAGGCGGGAGAGCCATAAAACTGGGAATTAATGATGATCCCATGGAGGGAAAACTGGGCGATGGAATTTCCAAAAAAATGAGTGATGGAATTTGGAAAAAAATGAGGGATGGAATTTTTTCCCGTGGCTGGTGATCCCCACGGTTCACAACGCGCGTGGTGGAGGGGACCTGGTTCTGTTGGCCTTTCTGGTGCCATTCCCGTCGTTCCCAGGTGGGAGTTGTCCAGTATGGAGAGGACGTGGTCCATGAGTTCCACCTGAACGACTACAGGTCCGTGCAGGACGTGGTGGCGGCTGCCAGCCACATCGAGCAGCGAGGGGGCACCGAGACCAGGACCGCCTACGGCATCGAGTTCGCTCGGTAAAACCCCTCCTGTTCCCGCTCCTATTCCCAGGAAAACCTTCAAATCCACTTTTTTCCACCCCTCCTTCCCTCTCCCTTTGTTTTCCCTGCTGCTTAAGAATGGGGGAATCGCCAGGGTTTGCAGGAAAATGGGATTTGGGGGAAGCTTTGCGAGTGGCGCTTCCCAAAATTTCTCAGTCCTTGTTTGCAGCTGGGGCAGGCTCTGGAATTGCGTCCTATCCCTGGAAACTCCCAGGGAGGAGCTCCCAGCCCCCAAATTCAGCTCCAGGACCTGGAACTCTCCTGGAAATCCCTGGAGAGTCCCCAGGAGCTCAGGACAGCTCCACCTCCTCCCTCTCCAGGGACAAATCCTTCTCCTGCACTTTTTCCAAGCAGTATTCCTGCTGGGAGTCATGGAAGTTTAGGCCAAAAGAGGTCAAAGATCAAGTCCAGCACTGACGAGACCAGCACTGACCATGTCCCAAGTGCCACATCCAAGTGGTTTGGAAATTCCTGCAGGAATGGCGATTCCAGCACTGCCCTGGGCAGCTCGGAAAAGTTTTAGATGGATCCTGGCCGGATCCGAGCACGGTCCTGAATTATTGGTGCCACACAGAGTCCCCAGCCCTGCTCAGTGTCCCTTTTCCATAAATATTCTGGAATTTGGGACCGTGCTTTGTCAAAATCCTGGGATGAAGAATTTTCCCTCACAGGGAAAGGCTCCATAGGCCAAGGCCAGAACTCCCCTGGCTGACTCAAGATCCATTTCCTCATCCGATTTGGCTGAATTTTGGCCTCTTTCCTGCAAGAAGTGGGGAAATCCACATCCCAAAGCGTTTCCCGAGGGTTCCTGCACCTCCCCAAGGGGCAGCAGCCCCAAGGACCCCTCGGGGCGGGCTCGGCGGGGCGGCGCGGCCACCACGGAGCCGGCGGGGCTGAGCAGCCCAGGGCATCTCTTCACTTGCAGCTCGGAAGCGTTTCGGAAAGGTGGCCGGAAAGGGGCAAAGAGAGTAATGATTGTCATCACAGATGGAGAGTCCCACGACAGCCCAGACCTGGAGAAGGTGATCGAGGACAGCGAGAGGGACAACGTCACCAGATACGCGGTGGCGGTGAGTGACGGGACTTTTGGGTGGTGGAAGTCCTGCAGGGCTTGGCGGTGCTCCAGGAAGCCCAACATAGCAGGACAGCCCATTCCCACTGCTCCTGGAGCATTCCAAGAGGTTCTTATGTGCTCCAGGAATCCCAAAGCACCAGGACAGCCCATTCCCACTGCTCCTGGAACATTCCAAGAGGTCCTTGTGTGCTCCAGGAATCCCAAAGCACCAGGACAGCCCATTTCCACTGCTTCTGGAATATTCCAAGAAGTCCTGTCCATCTCCACTGCTCCTGGAACATTCCAAGAGGTTCTTGTGTGCTCCAGGAATCCCAAAGCACCAGGACAGCCCATCCCCGCTGCTCCTGGGGCATTCCAAGAGGTCCTGTCCATCCCCACTGCTCCTGGGGCATTCCAAGATGTCCTGTCCATCCCTGCTGCTCCTGGAGCATTCCAAGAGGTTCTTGTGTGCTCCAGGAATCCCAAAGCACCAGGGCAGCCCATCCCCGTGGCTCCTGGAACATTCCAAGAGGTCCTGTCCATCCCCACTGCTCCTGGAGCGTTCCAAGAGGTCCTGTTCATCCCCACTGCTCCTGGAACATTCCAAGAGGTCCCTGTGTGCTCCAGGAATCCCAAAGCACCAGGACAGCCCATTTCCACTGCTCCTGGAGCATTCCAAGAGGTCCCTGTGTGCTCCAGGAATCCCAAAGCACCAGGAGAGCCCATCCCCACTGCTCCTGGGGTATTCCAAGAGGTCCTGTCCATCCCCGCTGCTCCTGGAGCATTCCAAGAGGTTCTTGTGTGCTCCAGGAATCCCAAAGCACCAGGACAGCCCATCCCCGCTGCTCCTGGAGCATTCCAAGAGGTCCTGTCCATCCCCACTGCTCCTGAAACATTCCAAGAGGTTCTTGTGTGCTCCAGGAATCCCAAAGCACCAGGACAGCCCATCCCCGTGGCTCCTGGAACATTCCAAGAGGTCCTGTCCATCCCCGTTGCTCCTGGAGCATTCCAAGAGGTCCTGTCCATCCCCGTTGCTCCTGGAGCATTCCAAGAGGTCCTGTCCATCCCCACTGCTCCTGGAACATTCCAAGAGGTCCTGTCCATCCCCACTTCTCCTGGAACATTCCAAGAGGTTCTTGTGTGCTCCAGGAATCCCAAAGCACCAGGACAGCCCATTTCCACTGCTCCTGAACATTCCAAGAGGTCCTGTCCATCCCCACTGCTCCTGGAGCATTCCAAGAGGTTCTTGTGTGCTCCAGGAATCCCAAAGCACCAGAACAGTCCATCCCCGTGGCTCCTGGAACATTCCAAGAGCTCATCGTGGCGGGTGCTGCTTTTGGGATGCTCAGCTCAGGATTCAGCTGCCGGGACCAGGGGCAGGCAGGACCCCAAATTCCATGAGGAATGTCCAGCCGGGAGGAATTGCAGCAGTTCCTCCGTTTGTTCCCACAAAGTGGTGTCAGATCTGAGGATGGGGCTTCTCCCACGTGGACACCCCAAAGAGTTTTGGGAAGAGTTTTTATCCATCCTGGGAAAAGGGTCCAGAGGAGATGCTGGAGTGGAGATAAAGCTGGAAGTGTCCAAGGTTGGATGGGACTTGGGATAGAGGAAGGTGTCCCTGCCCATGGAATGGGATGAGCTCTAAGATCCCTTCCAACCCAAACCACCCGGGAATCCTAATTCCATGGAAGTCTCGCGTTTTATTCCCAACCAGGTCTTGGGTTATTACAACAGGAGAGGAATCAACCCCGAGGCCTTTCTGAACGAGATCAAATTCATCGCCAGCGACCCCGACGACAAACACTTCTTCAACGTCACCGACGAGGCGGCGCTCAAGGACATCGTGGATGCTCTGGGAGAAAGGATTTTCAGCCTGGAAGGTGAGGGATGCTCCTCCCTGGCACATCCCAGGGCTGGGAATGTGCTGCTGATGGTTTTTCCCCCAATTTTGGATGTGGCTTCCGCAATATCTGAGCCTAAAATCCTGCTTGGAGTATCTTCAGGTTTGAGGGAATGTCTTTATTTGGAGCTTTCCTCGGGTATCAGGAGCAGAGATCCCTTTTCCAAAGGACACACCTCATTCCAGGCAGCGGAATTCTGGTGGCTTTGATTTTCCTTTTTATAGAAAACCTTGGAGATTTGGTATGGGGGGAATTTGGGCGTCAGTGTCTTCCTCATCCATCAAATTCCAGGGCTGTAAACAGGAAAACCCACACACAGGAGCTTCCTGGGGTGCCAGACATCAGGAGATTATGGGAATAAAGTTGGGATTTCGGGTCAGTTGGCTGAAATGAAATATCAGGAAATATTTCTGTCTTAAATGTCAGCTCTTGTGACAACTTTGTTGCTCTCCCAAACTAAATTTATCTGAATTTCAGAGGAAAAATGCAGCCTGGAATGAACAATTGGAACAGAAATGGAGGGCTCGCACTGGGAATGAAACATCTTGAATTTGGGGGATTTTGGCTCAAATCAGCTCACAAACTCCCCACAAGTTGCCCAGTTTTCTCTGTCCAGCTTGGAGCTTCCCTGTGGAAGTTGCCCTGGATAAGGAACTCCCCCAGCTGGAATTACAAAGCAAAAACCTCCAAATCCCCATTTTTGGGTGATCTTGCAGCTCTGCAAGGGGAGAAGCTGCACCCCAGCAGAGCTCCCAGACCTCCTAACAGCACAAGGGGGTGGAATTGGGGAATTTAGAGAGAAATGGGATCATCAGGAGGACCTGGAGCTGCTGGAGCGATTCCAGAGGAGGCCACGGAGCTGCTCCAGGGCTGGAGCCCCTCTGGAGCCAGGCTGGGAGAGCTGGGAATGTTCCCCTGGAGAAGGGAAGGATCCAGGGAATCCTCAGAGCCCTGGGAATGTTCTCCTGGAGAAGGGAAGGATCCAGGGAATCCTCAGAGCCATTCCAGGGCCTGGAGGGGCTCCAGGAGAGCTGGAGAGGGACTGGGGACAAGGGATGGAGGGACAGGACCCAGGGAATGGCTCCCACTGTGAGAGGGCAGGGAGGGGTGGGATTTTGGGAAGGAATTCCTGGCTGGAAGGGTGGGGAGGGGCATGAATGGAATTCCCAGAGGAGCTGTGACTGCCCCTGGATCCCTGGCATTGTCCAAGGCCAGGCTGGACGGGGCTTGGAGCAGCCTGGGACAGGGAAAGGTGTCCCTGCCATGGCAGGGCTGGAATGGGATGGGAACCCACCATGGCTCAGCCCTTCTAGGAAAGGAAAACTCTCCATTAAACACAAATTCCATTTTTTTTCTGTTCTAAGGAACCAACAAGAACGAGATCTCCTTTGGACTGGAAATGTCCCAGACTGGATTTTCATCCCACGTTGTGGAAGTAAGTGGGGAAATAGGGGGATTTTTTTGCCCCTGCTCCAAGTGGGAGATTGGGATTTGGGAAAAATTATTAATTACGGAATTAAATAATTAACATGGGGATAAGGAAGTGCTGCTGGATTATCCCGTGGGAAAGGAGGTGTTGGGAGACCCGATCATCCCTTAGGATCTGCAGCAGATCCTCCCGATGCCGTGACCTCTCAGGAAGGACACGCTGGGATCTTCTTGGAGAAATTTCCTGGGGAGAAAAAACACATTGGGAAAGAAAAATAGGGTGGAAGTGTCATTCCAGCATTTTTAAAACCCTCCAGCACTCCAGGTGTTTTTGGAAGAAGGGTCTGTGTGGGATCAGAGGGATGGGGTCACCTCCATCTGGGAAGAAATCCCACCAAAGCATTCCCGTTTTCCCACAGGACGGGATCCTGCTGGGAGCAGTGGGAGCCTACGACTGGAACGGAGCCGTCCTGAAGGAGACCAGCAGCGGGAAGGTGATTCCTCTGCGGGAATCCTACCTGCAGGAATTCCCGGAGGAGCTGAAAAACCACGGAGCCTATTTAGGTGGGAAAGCTGAACGATGCCATGGTGTCACGGAGAGGGAATTCGGGATTTTATCCTTAAAAAATAGGAAAGGCGGGATATTCCTCATGGGAGATGCAGCACAGGAGCATCCTCACCTGGGAAGAGCCCGGCTCCGACCCCAGAGCGGGGCACAAATGGGATTTAAATTCAGGAGCAGCCGAGCCAGCGGGTTATCCGCAGCTTTTCTTGGAATGGTTTCAAAGCTCTGATGGAATTTCATGCCTAGGCAGGAAATACCTGCTGGGTTAATCCATTCCATGTGCAGCCACTGGAGCTCTGGAATAAAAATATCAGCCTGGACTGTGAAATGCAGCCTCTCCTCGGAGATGTGGCTGTCCCGTGGCAGGGAGAGAGGTGGGATTCTGTGGGATCAGCACCTCGAGGCTCTTCCCTGGGAATGGGGACACGTGGATCAGCTGTGGGGTGACAGCAGAGTGTCCCCCGGAGCTGGGATGGCTGTGGGTGTCCCGTGGGAATCGCTGTGGGAGCTCAGCTGGGTTCTCTTTTCCACTGCCTGGAGTGAGAAATCTGGGAATATTAAGGAATGTTGGTGTATCCCGCTGAGGAGCAGCCTGGGGGACTCAGGGCTGATGGCTGTTTGGGAATATCCCTCCAGGAGGGGCATTTTTAGGGAAAGAGGGACCCCAGGTAAGGCTGGTGAGCAAGGAAAGGAGTCAGGAAATCCCTGGAGATACTCAAAATTCAATTGGACATGATCCCAGGGAATGTGATTCATTTTCATGATTGGCCAGACTTTGAGTTCCATAGAATTCCAGAATTCTGGAATGATTTGGGCTGGAAAGGCACTTAAAGCTCATCCCATTCCACCTTCCCCTATCCCAGGTTTCTCCAAGCCTCATCCAGCCTGAGATTGGAATATTCCAGGGATGAGGCAACCACAGCTTCTCTGGGCATCCCATTCCCACTTCTAAGGATTTAATTGGAATTGAAACCTGAGCCTGAAGGTTCAGGAACCTGGACTTGGGGTTGAAAACCTGGATTTGGCAGCCCCAGCTTTATATTCCTACAAAATCCCATCTGCAGCCATGGAAGTGTCACAGCCCAGGGGGTGATCCCAGCAGGAAAAAGGGATTGTGCAGGGTCATTGGCTTAGGCAGGGTTATTTCCATCAGGAGGAATGGTTCTGATGGATTCATGGCTTTTCTTGGGCTGGGAATGTTGACATCAAGCACCAGGAAAGTTGCAGGAGCTGCAATTTCCCAACACTCAGCACCTCAGAGTGTTTGTCCAGCTTGATGTGAGCCACGAAATAAAACACCCAGAAGTCCGGGAATTGCAGGAATTGGATTCACCTTGGATAAAAGAAGGATTTGCACAGGAAGTGGGAATCAGGCAGTGCTAAAACTCCCGGCACGGCCCCGGCTGTGGCAGAACCGGAGCAGCCGCTGGGGTCCATGTGGGTGATTTCATCTTTGCAAAAATCCAGGTTTTTAAGCTTCCCTTTTTTGGGAAGTGGCCAGAGCTGTGTCAGCAGCTGGGAGCTGATGGAAAGCTCCAGCTCCTGGGAGCAGGCAGGGAATCATCACTCCGTGCCCATCCCTTCCCAGGTTACACCGTCTCCTCCGTCGTCTCCACCAAGCACGAGCGGATTTACGTGGCGGGAGCGCCGCGGTTCAACCACACCGGCAAGGTCATCCTGTTCAACATGCACAGCAACAGGAACCTCACCATCCACCAGGCCCTCAAGGGAGAGCAGGTAATTCCGGCCGGGAATGCCGCACTGCTTTTCCCCCGTGGAAAAACCAACCCTGTCCCTCGATTTTCCCAAGCTGGAACGGCCGTGGAGGTGCCGGTGTCTTGGTTTGAAAGGACAGGGGGCTGCTGAGGAAGGCAGGAGCCTCCCTTGAAATGGAAAATTCAAACCCCCTCCCTCCAAATTATTCTGATTTTGAAATTAAGAAGCTCTCAGGCAAAGATATGGGAGTAGGAATAACAGCTCTTTACTAAGAAAATTAAAAATACACACGTGTCACTATTGGACACGAAATGAGTGAACAGAAGCGTGGTAAGTTCAAAAGAGAAAAAGATCCAGTTTTATTCAAACATCTGGAATTTATAGAATTCCAAAGGCGACTGTGGATTGGAGGATGGAATTACCACCTCTCCAACCACACTGGTCCAAAGATCAATCAATCATTTCTCTCTACCCACAGAGAAATATGTCAACTATTTCTACATGAAATTGTGTGGGAGCTCTGACTTTTACATATGCAAACATTATCAGAAGGTTAAAGTTTTACAAGAACTGTAAAACTTTCAAAAGAACTATAAAAGAAAACTTAACACTTTTAAAAATCAGAGCAGCACAGATGCAATAGTACAAAAAACAGAAAACAAACCAGAGTCAGAGCAGGCCCTGGCAGGCTGTGGGTCAGGGAGGTGGCAGCAGCCCCATCCCAGGGTGGCTCAGCCCTCCTGCAGTGCCAGCTGTGCTTCTGCTGGAGCAGGATCCTGCACAAGGGGGGAGTTTTCCTCTGGAGCTCCAGGGCTGGGGGAGATGGGCCTGGGCTCCTCTGGGAATGCAGTGGGAAGAAAGCTGCTCCTCTGGGAATGCAGTGGGGGAGAAAGCTGCTCCTCTGGGAATGCAGTGGGAAGGAAGCTGCTCCTCTGGGAATGCAGTGGGAAGAAAGCTGCTCCTCTGGGAATGCAGTGGGGAAGGAAGAAAGCTGCTCCTCTGGGAATGCAGTGGGAAGAAAGCTGCTCCTCTGGGAATGCAGTGGGAAGAAAGCTGCTCCTCTGGAATGCAGTGGGAAGAAAGCTGCTCCTCTGGGAATGCAGTGGGAAGAAAGCTGCTCCTCTGGGAATGCAGGGGGCAAAGGCTGCTGTGCTGTTCCCAGGTCAGATTGTATCCAAGTAGGAATTCTTGGCTCCTCCCCTGGGCAGAGCATCTCCCCATGGATGATGGAATTTTCTCAGCCACGCAGGGACACTCACTGGCCATCAACAGGAGATAATTAATAATTAATGACCCATGAACAGAAGATAATTATTAATTAATGGCCCATGAACAGAAGAAAATTTTTAATTAATGGCCCATGAACAGAAGAGATCTCCTGGAGGGAGGATTGGCTGTGGGACAGATAAATAAAACTGCCCAGTGAGCAGCCGAGATACCTGCCCCAGCTCGGACAGGTGGTGGCAGAACACTCACCCCCATTTCCAACCCAGGACAGCCGCTTGTGGCTGCATCCACAGTGGGGCTGTGGCGGGTTGGGATGTCCCTGTGGATCCCAGGGGATGGTGGCATCATTCCCACCCCGTCCTGTCCCCTCCAGATCGGCTCCTACTACGGCAGCGAGATCAGCTCCCTGGACGTGGACGGCGACGGCGTCACCGACGTGCTGCTGGTGGGAGCGCCCATGTTCTTCAGCGAGGGCAGGGAGCGGGGCAAGGTCTACGTCTACAGCCTGCAGGGGGTCAGTGGCGCCTGGGGACACCGTGGGGACACCGGGGAGCTCTCCTGGCAGCCGTGTCACCCGCTGGGGTCTGGAGGGAAGGGTACAACGGGATCTTTGCCATGTGGGAATGTGGATGTCCGTCTGGAGAAATCACCTCCAGCCACGTGGCTTCCACCAAATTGCTCCTTCCATGGAGAGCTCAGAGCTCCTTCCATGCCTAAAGGAGCTTCCCTGCGGAAGTTGGGCTGGATGAGGAACTCCCCCAGTTGGAATTACGAAGCAAAAACCTCCAAATCCCCATTTTTGGGTGATCTTGCAGCTCTGCAAGGGGAGAAGCTGCACCCCAGCAGAGCTCCCAGACCTCCTAACAGCACGAGGGTGTGGAACTGGGGAATTTAGTGAGAAATGGGATCATCAGGAGGACCTGGAGCTGCTGGAGCGATTCCAGAGGAGGCCACGGAGCTGCTCCAAGGGTGGAGCCCCTCTGGAGCCAGGCTGAGAGAGCTGGGAATGTTCTCCTGGAGAAGGGAAATATCCAGGGAGAGCTCAGAGCCCTGGGAATGTTCCCCTGGAGAAGGGAAGGATCCAGGCAGAGCTCAGAGCCCTGGGAATGTTCCCCTGGAGAAGGGAAGGATCCAGGGGCCATTCCAGGGCCTGAGGGAGCTCCAGGAGAGCTGGAGAGGGGCTGGGGACAAGGGATGGAGGGACAGGACCCAGGAAATGGCTCCCACTGCCAGAGGGCAGGGATGGGTGGGATATTGGGAATTGTTTCCCGGGAGGGTGGGCCACTCTCAGGGCTCGGGGGACAGCGAGTCCCTCCCTTCACTCCAAGCTCCAGCCCCTGTCCCCTTCCCTTTCCCAGTTGCCCTGGTGGGCCACCCTCAAATCTGGCTCAAAATGAGCCAAATCCATCAGGATCCGGGAACACATGGGAAGGCTGTGCTCTACATCCAAGGGTGCAGAGCCCACCTGGAGCATGGCATCCCTACACCCAAAGCATTATTATTATTATTATTATTATTATTATTATTATTATTATTATTATTAACATTAACATTAACATTAACATTAACATTAACATTAACATTAACATTTGTATTTCATATAAAATTTATTATTAATTTGGAATGTTTATTCTTATGGCATTTATTAAGGATGCAGAGCCCACCTGGAGCATGAAATCCCTACACCCAAAGCACTTTATAATTTGTGGAATTTACTACTACTACTATTATTATTATTATTATTATTACTATCAATAATAATAATAACCTTTGTATTTATTATAGATTTTTTAATGAGTATGGAATATTTATTATTATGGAATTTATTAAGGATGCAGAGCCTGCCTGGAACATGGAATCCCTACATCCAGAGCCCTTTATTATTTATGGAAATTTTACTATAATAATAATAATAAGAAGAAGAAGAAGAATAGTAGTAATAGCAATAATAACAGTAATAACAATAAAAACAACAACAATAATAATAATAACATTTGTATTTAATATGAAATTTATTATTAATATGGAATGTTTATTATTATGGAATTTGCATTTGTTATTGAATGTTATTTTTATTTATTTATTTATTTATTTATTACTGCTATTGAATTATTGATGTCGGGTGCAAAGCAGATGCAGGGCTGGCTCAGGGGGGCCTCAGGGCTCATCATTCCCAGGGATGTGCTCCAAAATCCCCCATCCCTGGGAACGCTCCCACCTCCTTCCTTGGAGAACTCCTCCCCCATCACCTCACTGCTTGCTTGAGGCATTCTCCTCTTCCCAGCCTTGCTGCTGATGCTTTGGGAATTGTCTTCCTTCCCTTTTTTCCCTCGGCAGAACCTCTTAGTTCCCAGCGGAGCCCTGGTGGACCTCCAGAGTTACCAGAATTCCCGTTTCGGCTCCTGCATCGCCGCCGTTCCCGACCTCAACCAGGACTCCTACAACGACCTGGTGGTCGGGGCCCCTCTGGAGGATGAGCACCAAGGAGCCATTTACGTTTTCCTTGGATTCCAGGGGACCATCCTGAAGAAGTACAAGCAGGTGGGCCTTCCCCAAGCTTGGTTTTCCTCATCCTTCATGGGAATAAATATAATTTGTCCCTGTTTTAAGGACTGATGGGGCAGGACAAATCCACGCCCAGGATTTAATTGTTAATTATTACGGCCAGATATTTCCTCTTTTGAGGCATCCAAGAGAAAACGTTGGAATTCAAGCATTGGAACAGCAGTGGTGGAGTCTCCATCCCTGCTGGGGTTTAAGATGTGGCACTTGGGGACATTTGTGGTGGCCTTGGCAGTGCCAGGGGGTGGTTGGACTCGACAGTCTTGGATGGCTTTTCCAACCTGAGTTATTCCATGGAATAATGGGGGGGAAGGCTGGGAAATGGAGGCAATGTTTAGCATTCATTGAAAGGGATTGCTATAGATGTATTAATTAACTAATTAATTGATAATTATTTTTATTTCTTTTCTTTAAATTTTTTTAGATTTATTTAATTATTACACTTTTGATAAATGTTAAACATGCAGGGCAAATCCAGTAGAAATCTTGGATGGTGTCTCCAAAGAGAAATTGCTTTCAAAGCAAATGTTTTCTCCCTTCCAAAGAGAAATTCCCTGGAAAATCATGTTTAGCAGAACCTCTTGGAACGGGGAATTTTCAGCAGCGAGGCGGAGTCAGCCTGGCAAACCCTTGGCAGGCAGGGATGCTCCTGCTGGAATCCAGCCTGGATTGTTCCCGTTCCTTTCCAGAGGATCGCGGCCGCCGACCTCGCTCCGGGCCTGATGTATTTTGGATGCAGCATCCACGGGCAGCTGGATCTGAACGAGGACGGGCTGGTGGACTTGGCCGTGGGCTCGCTGGGCAGCGCCGTGGTGCTGTGGTGAGCCCGGCATCCTCGGTGCCCTCTCCCGATTTCCTCTGACCAAGTCATGCCAAAATTTTTCCAGGAAAAACTGGTCTCCCAGCATTCCGAGCCATCTTTCCTGAATAACCACCCCCTGTCCAACAGGGCTGTGGGATCTCAGTACCCTCAGGCCCTGAAAAGATGCAAGAGTTGGTTTTCCATTGAGCTTCATCCACAGTTCTCCAGAAATTCCAAATTTGTGGGGATTTGCCCAGGCTCCTTCTGGTCTGGTTTAATTAGAGCAATATTGTCAAATTAATGTTTGGAGAGTCCCTTGAAGCTGCTGGGATGGAGGGTGGCTGTGCCCAGCCGAGATGGGTCACCCTGGGCTCTGCTTGGAGAACACCTTTGGTCTTCCCAACTTTCCGCGAAAAGGAGGGAAAAAGGCAAAGCTGGGATGTCCCATCCCAAGCCAGAGCCCATCCCACGGCCTCTTCCCACCCCACAGGTCCCGCAGCGTGGTCCAGATCAACGCCAGCCTCCGCTTCGAGCCCGCCAAGATCAACATCTTCACCAAGGACTGCAAGCGCAACGGGAAGGAGGCCACCTGCATGAGGGCCTTCGTCTGCTTCACCGCCCTCTTCCTCTCCGCTCACTTCCAGACCGCCAGCGTGGGTAAGGACAAAACCCCAATTCCTGCCTTGCTCAGCTCTCCAGCCCCATGGAAAACCCAACTTTTGGGATGGAAACCATCCAGGAGCTTGGAGGAGCTCGCATGTCCATACGGCACTTTGATGTCACTCACGTTTGTCCCTGTCCCGGCTGAGTCTCCGCGTTCTGGTGGTGCTTCTGCCAAGGAAACACCCTCAGGATAAATCCCACCTCATCCCTCACCTATTCCAAGGGCTGAGCTCTCCTGGGAATTGCCTTTCCATGCTCTGTGTGACGGGAATGTCACCCCAGCGGGCAGGAGAGGACATGCCCAGGACGTTCCGCGGGGCTCATCCCTCCCTGCCGCCTCCCGCAGCAGCGGGACACATCTGCCGGCCAGATGTGCGTGTTCCACAACATCCCAGGGAATCTGTGGCTGGCCAGCTCTCCCGTTAAAGCCTTGGATGGTGCCGTGACCCCGAGTGATCCCCGGCGGGTTCCCGGGAGTCAGCGGAGCAGGGAAGCGAGAGCGGCTCAGCCCCTGCGAGCCAGCAGCAAACACCGGCCCAGGAAAATCAGGATCCAAAGCCAAAGGAAAAACTCCCATCACTCAGACCAGGAGCTTAATTTTGCTCTGTCAAATCCAGCATTTTTCTCCCTGCTGCTGTCCCTGTGGGATAAAAACTGAGTGGGATTTCCTTATTTATTTGATTTGACCTTTATTTCCCCTGGAAATAAAGAGTCACCCCCTGGGTGAGCCTCTCTGCTCTGGAGCTCTCTGGGAGAGCTGAGGGTGTCCAGCCAGGAGAAGGGAAGGATCCAGGGAATCCTCAGAGCCCCTTCCAGGGCCTAAAGGAATTCCAGGAGAGCTGGAGAGGACTGGGGCAAGGGATGGAGGGACAGGACACAGGGAATGACTTTAAGTGAAAGAGGGACAGATGGGATTTTGGGAATGAATTGTTCCCTGTGAGGGTGGGGAGGGGCTGGGATGGAATTCCCAGAGCAGCTGTGGCTTCCCCTGTATCCCTGGACGTGTCCTAGGCCAGGCTGGAGCAGCCTGGGACAGTGGGAGGTGTCCCTGCCATGGCAGGGGCTGCAGTGAGATGGGATTGAAGGTCCCTTCCCAAACCAGTCTGAGATTCCGTGGTTCTCTGAAATCCATGCTTGGTTGGGAATCTCCAGTTTCTGTCCAACAGCAGGAACCAAAGGAGCTCCATAAATCATCCAGGTGAGGGGTGAGCTCTTATTCCTCCAGACCATCACGGGAACACTTGAGAAGCAAACAATTCCACGCCTGCACAGATTTTACACAGGGCCTTGCAAAAATTAATTCCCAAAACTCATTTGGAGAGAGGGGAACTTTTCCCAGAACCTCCTGGGATTTCCCTCAGCAGGGAATGGGCACTGGGGCCACTCTTTGCCCGGGGTTTGGGGTGTGTGGCCCCAAGGCCTGAGCCGGGCCTGTCCCCGCAGGGCTCAGGTACAACACGACCATCGACGAGCGCCGCTACTCGCCCCGGGCACACCTGGACGACGGCGGCGAGCGGGCGGCAGCGCGGGGGCTGGAGCTGCCCGCCGGCCAGGAGCTCTGCCACACCCTCCCCTTCCACGTCCTGGTGAGTCTGGAGCAGGAGATGTTCTCCCCACCAGAGTGGGAATGAGCCTCATCCCGCCGGATTTATCCCGCTGGATTCCTGCCCGCCGGTTTGATGTGGTCAGGGATGGAGCTGCCAGCACGTGGCAGCTGCAGGGTCCCCAGGCAGTGACAAAATTGCAGCCCCCACGTGCTCCATGTGCTCCTCATCCCAGGGACAGGCTGCTTTTCCTGCTCCAAAATCGGGAATGCTCGTTGGTTTTCCATCGGGAATGGAGCATCTCCGTGCCGGGCGCTGGCAGCGTCCCACTCTGGCCCGGCAGGGTCCCACCCCGGGGTGCGGAGCTGGTGGATCCCTCGCTCGCAGGGAACAGCTGATGCACAAACCTGGCCAAAACCAAACATTCCCAGGGAATGAGGAGAATCTCATGGAAGCCAGGCAGGCCCACGCTGCCAGACTGGCCCAGCCCCAAGCCCCGGCTGAACTGCCGTGAACTTTTGGGAAATTTGAGGCTGGAGATGGAGCTGGAGCTCGTGATTTAGCCCAAAAAACATCTCCCTTCAGAGCATCCCTCTGCACCCCAGGGCAAGGCAGCGGAGGAGCTCCAAGGGGCTTCCAGAGGGCAGGGTTAGGTGGGATACTGGAAAGGAATTCCTGTCTGGGATGGAATTCCCAGAGGAGCTCTGGCTGCCGCTGGATCTCTGGAAGTGTCCAAGGTCAGGATGGATGGGGCTTGGAGCACACTTGGAGATGGGATCTGGTTTTTGTTACATCCCAGCCCTGGGCTGGGGCTGCAGGACGGATCTGTGACCTTTGAGGGCCACGCCGAGGTGCTGCCCCAGCCCAGGTGGCCCTGGGCTCCTCTCCACGTTCTCCATGTGCCACAGGACACGGCGGATTACGTGAAGCCGGTGACGTTCTCCATCGACTACGAGCTGGAGCATCCCGAGCACGGCCCCATGCTGGACGATGGGTGGCCCACCTCGCTCAGGGTCTCTGTAGGTAGCAGCTGCCAACCCCTGGTGCCACCTCCCAAAGTGCCATTTCCCAAAATTCCACCTCCCCAAGTGCCACCTCCCAAGTGTCACATCCCTGGTGCCACCTCCAAAACTTCCACCTCCCAAAGTTCTACCTTCCAGGGTGCCACCTCCCAAAATTCCACCTCTCCAAGTGTCACCTCCCCAGTGCCACCTCCCAAAATTCCACCTCCCAAAGTGCCACCTCCCAAAATTCCACCTCCCAAAGTGTCACCTCCCCCGTGCCACTTCCCAAAATTTTACCTCCCCAAGTGCCACTTCCCAAGTGTCACATCCCTGGTGCCACCTCCTAAAATTCCATTTCCCAAAGTTCTATCTCCCAGGGTGCCACCTCCCAACGTGTCACCTCCCCAGTGCCACTTCCTAAAATTCCCCATCCCCAAGTGTCACATCCCTGGTGCCTCCTCCTGGAGTTCCACCTCCCAAAGTTCCACCTCCCAGGGCATCAGGGCAGGTTTATCTCTGGGAGAACGGTCACCGAGCTGCTCTCGTTGTCCCCTCAGGTCCCCTTCTGGAATGGCTGCAACGAGGACGAGCACTGTGTCCCCGATCTGGTGCTGGATGCCAGAAGTGACATTCCCAGTGCCATGTGAGTAGGTGACCCAGAGCATCCTCCAAGAGTGTCACCAGCTGGGGGAGGCTCCAAAAATCCAGCCCCAGTCTGTGTTCCATAAATTCTGACATCACTGGTCCTGCATCCAGCATCACCACAAGGTCCATCCAAGCCCTCCAGGAGGTGCTCCTTGGCGCTTCTGAGCCTCTCCCTGCTCCCTGCCTGGAAGGAATCCGTGGTTTTTTGGGGAATCCACAAACCAGCGAATATTTGGTGCCATGGTGATGAGTCCCAGGGCTACAAATCAGGAAATACCAGGGAATAACTGCAAGGCTGGCATTTCCCACCTGGCAATTACGGGCTTGACTCATGGAAATAATTCCACACGGCAGCTCCGTGGTTACAGAGCTATTAAAGCTTATCCCTGCATCCACAGGAGGCCCCGGAGCTGCTCCGAGGGCTGGAGCCCCTCTGGAGCCAGGCTGGGAGAGCTGGGAATGTTCCTCTGGAGAAGGGAAGGATCCAGGGAGGGCTCAGAGCCCTGGGAATGTTCCCCTGGAGAAGGGAAGGATCCAGGCAGAGCTCAGAGCCCTGGGAATGTTCCCCTGGAGAAGGGAAGGATCCAGGGAGGGCTCAGAGCCCTGGGAATGTTCCCCTGGAGAAGGGAAGGATCCAGGGAATCCTCAGAGCCCTGGGAATGTTCCCCTGGAGAAGGGAAGGATCCAGGGACACCTCAGAGCCCTGGGAATGTTCCCCTGGAGAAGGGAAGGATCCAGGCAGAGCTCAGAGCCCTGGGAATGTTCTCCTGGAGAAGGGAAGGATCCAGGCAGAGCTCAGAGCCCTGGGAATGTTCCTCTGGAGAAGGGAAGGATCCAGGGAATCCTCAGAGCCCTGGGAATGTTCCTCTGGAGAAGGGAAGGATCCAGGCAGAGCTCAGAGCCCTGGGAATGTTCCCCTGGAGAAGGGAAGGATCCAGGGAATCCTCAGAGCCCTGGGAATGTTCCCCTGGAGAAGGGAAGGATCCAGGGAGGGCTCAGAGCCCTTCCATGGCCTGAAGGGGCTCCAGGAGAGCTGGAGAGGGACTGGGGACAAGGGATGGAGGGACAGAACACAGGGAATGGCTTTAGGTGAAATAGGGATGGATGGAATTTTGGGAAGGGATTGTGCGGGTGGTGAGGGGCTGAGATGAAATTCCCAAAGAAGCTGTGGCTGCCCCTGGATCCCTGGAAGTGTCCAAGGCCAGGCTGGATGTTGGAGCTTGGTGCTACCTTTGCTATTGGAATGGGATCTGTTTCTTCCCTACATCCCAGCTGTCCTATTTTTGAGAAAGTGTCACACCATTGGCCAAAAATCCCCAAATTACGGACGATGGGAAGAATCCATAATTCCTCTTTCAGCACAGCAGGACTGAGGGAGAGGAGGGATCTCCATGGTTGTAAAGTCCCGGGAATTCTTGCAGGGAATTCTGCCGGAGGGCGCTGCGGAGGGGGGACTGCTCGGCCTTCAGCCTCTCCTTCGACGCCTCCGTCTTCGTCATTGAGAGCAGCAGGAGAAGGGTGGCCGTGGAGGCCACGCTGGAAAACCGTGGGGAGAACGCCTACAGCACCGTCCTCAACATCTCCTTCTCCAGGAACCTCCAGCTGGCCAGCCTGATCCCCAAGGTGAGCTCCCGGGGGAGATCTGGGCTTTTCCAGAGGTGCTGCTAATCCCAGACGGATGAGAAGCTGCAGCCTAAAGCAGAGCCCAAATCTGCCTCCATCCCTCATAAATCAGAGCTGTTTATGGGCTCCGTTTCTAAGCGCTTCCAGCTCTTTATTTTGGAAATACAAAAAAGTTTTAAGAGCCTGAGCGAAGGTCAAACACAGAGGAAATTATTTCCCTCTATTTTTCTCCTGCAGTTGTTTAAAAATACTCCCTGCACATGGCCAAGTTCCCGTCAGGAACAAGTTTTTGCAGCTGAGAAAAACTCCTGGAAGTAGGAGCTGATCACGGGAATGTGGCCACAGCTCAGTGCCTCTCCATGGCTTTCCCTGGATGATCCCTGAGTGTCCCAAAAATTTCACTGCCCCGCTCACTCGATCTTGGTGCAACTCCTCCCTGTTCCCAGCGAGGTTTGGGAATGTGCTGATGCTGCTGAGCCTTCCCTCACCCCCCCATGACTTCATCCCTGCCCACAGATCCCAGCTCCTTTGTTTTCCTCCGAGCCGTGCCAAGGGAAAATTGTGGGGCTCACTGGCCACAAAATCAGAGAAATGCATTTTTTGGAGATTATTCCAAACGAAGTGAGGGGAGCAGGGAAAATCCCTGGATGGTGGGGCACAGAAAGCACTGGGCAGCAGTGGTTGTAAGGAATATTTGTGGCTGGTCATGGAGGAGTCAGGGATAATGGGCTCCTGGCTGTCCTCCTTATCTAGGAGCATCCAGAGGGGATGGATCTCTGTGTCTTTTAAATAAAAAGTGACTATGGCCCCCAGAAGTCCATAATTTCAGCAGATGAGTGGCAGGAAGCTCCAGACTGTTGCTGGTGGCTGGTGCTGGGATGTTCCAGCTCCTGGGTAGGACTTTTCCAGTGGCAGCAGCTCAAACTGACCCCCCGTGGGATAAAAGCTGGAATAGCTTTTATGTCCATCCTCTCATGGTGAGGATGGACACCTGCCTGCAACATCTGGAAGGGTTGTGGAGGAGACAGAGCAGGGTTGGTGTCCCATCCCATCCCATCCCAGCTCTGCAACAGGCAGGAGCTCCTCCATCCTGGCTGGAGAGATGGAAGGTGTCCCAGCAGCAGGAATGGCAGTGTGGAGATGAGGGGATTCCAGCCTAGCTGGTGGCCATGCAGGAGAACAGCTCATGTTGTCTCAGTGCTTCCCAATGTCTCCTCATCACAGAAAGATCAGGAATGCCAGGAATGATCAGGTTCATTCATTCACCACAGTTAAATTCATTTGCCGCTGTAACTGAATTCATAACGAGGATTTAAATCAGGAAACTGGGAGCTGCTTCCTAGAGATGCTCCTTTCCAGGAACTTCAACGAATGCTCGGGAAGGATTCCCAGCTCCAGCAAGCAGCCTGGGCTGGATGACTGGCTGGTTGTGTGCATGGTCCTTTGGCTGGGTTTTGGTTGTGGTTGGTCTGTCCTTGGTTGGATTTTGGTCCTTGATTGGGTTTTGGTTGTGGTTGGTTGTTGGTTGTATCCTTTCTTCATTCATTTGTTTGTTGGCCAACAGTTGGTCGGTCATTGGTTGGGTTTTGGTCATTGGTTGGTCTGTCCTTGGTTGGATTTTGGTCCTTGGTTGGATTTTGGTCCTTGGTTGGGTTTTGGTCATTGGTTGGGTTTTGGTCATTGGTTGGTCTGTCCTTGGTTGGATTTTGGTCCTTGGTTGGGTTTTGGTCATTGGTTGGTCTGTCCTTGGTTGGATTTTGGTCCTTGGTTGGGTTTTGGTCATTGGTTGGTGTGTCCTTGGTTGGATTTTGGTCCTTGGTTGGGTTTTGGTCATTGGTTGTTGGTTGGCTGGTTCATTTGTTGGTCCTTTGTTGGTTGGTTGGTCTTTGGTCGGTTGGTTCTTATTGTTGGTTGGGTTTTGGTTGTTTGCTGTCGATTGGTTGGTCATTGGCTAGTTGGTTATTGGCTGGTTGGTTTTTGGTTGGTTGGTCACTGGCTATTGGTTGGTTGGCCATTGGTTGGTTGGTCACTGGCCATTGGTTGGTTGCCCATTGATTGGTTTCCCATTGGTTGGTTGGCCATTGGTTGGTTGGCCATTGGTTGGTTGGCCACTGGTTGGTTGGCCATTGGTTGGTTGGCCATTGGTTGGTTGGTTGGCCATTGGTTGGTTGGCCATTGGTTGGTCGGTCACTGGTTGCCCATTGGTTGGCTATTGGTTGCTTGGTTGTTTCCCCAAAGCCAAGGCCCGTTTTGAACGCCCTGGCTGTTCCCAGTTTTCCAAAGAGCCGCTCCTGGGGCTCATTCCCAGTGTCCCGGACACTCCATGGACAGGACTCCGTGTCCCATTTCAGGACGACACCGACATCAACATCGACTGCGCCGGTGACGACAGACACCCCACCAGGAGGGTGTGCAACGTCAGCTACCCCTTCTTCCGAGCCAAGGCCAAGGTAGGACATTCCCAACTTCCCACTGTGCTGTCACATGGACCTTCTGCCCCCGGGGTCACATCTGGGCAACCCTGAGCAGGATTTTGAAGAGAAGCTTTTGGTTTCTTCCCTTTTGGAGTTTGAAAGGCATCTTAGGGGAGCTGGGATGTCTGGGATCCTGCCCTGGTGCTCAGGAGAGCCCCAGAATCCAACCCAGCTTCTCCAGGTGACAGAATTTGCCTCAAATCCTTTGGAAAAATTTAATGTTTGCTTCAAACCACAGATGGGAACTTCCCTGAGCTGATTCCCTGCAGGATGAGGCTCCTTCCCCACCGGAGAGGTTTTCCTTGCTCTGAGGTGCCTCTGGATCCTGTGCAGAACCCACCCAATCCTCCCTGGGTGGTGGCATCCTCCAAACCTGTATTCCCAATATTTAGGATGAGCCCAGATCCAGCAAAAACTGTTTTTATAGACCATAAACCCTTGGGAAACATCAAATTCAGGAATAAGGTGGGGAAAGGAAAAGGGGCGAGCTGCAGCCACTCAGGATCCATGTGGAATTCCAGACCCACCCCATACTCCCATGGGAAAAGGGACCAGCACAAGCGGGATCTGGAGACAAATTCTGTATCCGTCTGAAACCTTTCCTTGATAATGATGGATTATCAAGGCCTGAGAGGTTCTCCTTGCTCTGAGGTGCCTCTGGAACCTGCTCAGAGCCAGTCCAAGCCCCCCTGGGTGGTGGCATCCTCCAAAACGGTGCTCCCAGTGTTTGGGATGAGCCCAGATCCAGTTTATCATTTTTATAAGCCATAAACCCTTGGGAAACATCAAATTCAGGGCTCAGTTGGGAAAGGATCAGTAGGGAGATCCACTCAGGATTTGTATGGAATCCCACCTGCCCACCCATGGAAAAAGGGACCAAAATAAGCGGGATCTGGAGATAAAATCCCCCCAGCTCCTGTATCCGTCTGAAACCTTTCCTGGATGATGATGGATGAGCCTCAGGCACCGGGCTCGGCTTTAAAGCTCCCAAAATTCCCAGTGGGATGCCTGTGGCTGCACGAGGAGCTGGCTCCCCATGACCTACGGCGTTGGGAATGCGTCCGTGGGCCATCAGGTAGCGCCGCTCCTGCCAAAACAAAGACAGGCTGGAAATGGAATTTTGGCTCCGGAGCCGCGGGAGCTTTAATATTCCAGTCAGCTGTGCCGGCCCAGACGGTTTGAGGTCACCGCAGATGTGACATTTATCACATTTATCCCATTTTATTGGTGTTGGCTCTCTGCAGCTGCCTCCCCTTCCCGCCGATCCCGGGCCTCTGGAGGGATCTGCTTCCAAAGGGAGAATCCGTGTTGCTCCCATCGCAGGGGCTGAGAGAATTCCTGCAAATCCTCTCTGCCTGGAAAGGCTCTGCTCGGTCCTGGTGGGATTGGGAATTGTGTCTTCTGCAGGGTCCCGCACTGGCCTCGCTCAGCACTCGGGATTTTATTCCCTGGGATGTTTTTCCCGATGTTTTTCCCGGTGTTTTTCCCTTCTCCGCAGGTCGCTTTCCGCCTGGACTTTGAATTCAGCAAATCCGTCTTCCTGCAGAGCATGGAGGTCTACATGGTTGCCAGCAGGTCTGGGGATGCTTTCTCCCTCTGGAATCACGGAATCATGGAATGGTTTGGGCTGGAAAAAAGCCCATCCAGTCCCGCTCCTTCCCTGATCCCAGGTTATCCAACCTTGGAGAATTCCAGGGATCCAGGAAGTTTCTCTGGCACGCCAGGATGTAGCCAGCTTTCCTTGGAATTCCTTCCTCCAGAGCCAGAGGTTTCCCATGGAATAACCCCATGGAGACCCAGTTGCTGTGGGTTATCCCAGCCCCCTGCTCCCAAACCTGGCTGGTTTTATTTATCTGGGAATTTACATCCATGATTTTTCCATGCCTGTGGAAGCTGCCGGGCTTTGCTGGATCTCCAGCCACTGCTGCTTTCTCATCCACGCTCCCACCGCAAATATTTCCCGGGAAAAATATCTCCTAATAATTTTACAAAGTTCTCCTTACTCCCTGATCCTCCAGTGGTAAAGATTTCCCACAGGGAAATGCAGGAAATCCTGTAAAAAAATGGGAAAATCCTATGAGGAAAGGGGAAATCCTGCAAAGAAAGGGGAAAATCTTGCAAAGAAAGGTGAAAATCTTGCAAAGAAAGGGGAAATCCTACAAAGAAAGGGAAACTTTAAATCAACTTATTAAAATATTAATAAATAATTTAATTAATTGGCTACATAATTAATATAAATAATATTTTAATAAATTCACCAATTATTACAGCAGAGGAGGATTCCCCTGCACCACTTTAAGCTGCTGGGTGTGACACCTCCCTCTGAATCATTTTAATCGTTAAAAAAACCCCAGAATAAAATCCTGCTTTGACCAAAAAATGTTCAGCATTCCCAGAAAAAATTCCCAGGGGGATTTGGCTCCTGCCTGACCCCCCGGCCCTGCTGCTGTTCCAGTGACAGCGAGGAGAAGGAGAGCACCAAGGAGGACAACGTTGCCCACCTCAACTTCCAACTCAAGTACGAGGCCGACCTGCTCTTCACCAGGTGAGGGGTTTGGGATGGGATGCGAGGTCATGGATTGGGAAAACCCCTTGGGAAAATCAGCCGGGAGCAGCCTTCAAACCGAGGTTTAATTTGGGAATTTATTGAAAAAACAGGAGCCATAAAATCAGGGAGAGCTTTTTATAAAGCTGACGAGGTGCAGAGAGCTGGACTCTGCCGATGTTTAAAGGCATAAATTTTATTAAAGAGGTGTGAGGGTGAGTTTTTATGGGAAAAAAAGGGAATTCTTGGAGGTAATAATGGCCATAACAGGTGTTCCAGTGTCTGGGCCGGTGGCCATCCCACAAAACCATGGGAGGGAAGCTCAGCTGTGGGATGAGCGTGGAATCACCGGGAATTCAAGTCTGGGACAGCCAGGGATGAAGGCAGAGATAATTTAGGAAGCTGCTGATGGGAAAATCAGGGATCCCAAAGCACATTCCCTGGCACTGCTTGCTGGAATTTTTCGGGGATTTTTCAGCCCTTCGGTAATTTTGTATTTTTTACTCAGACGCCACGAATAAAATTCCTTTAATATTTAGGATTTATGGGGAGTGAGGGGATTCTCCAGTTCGGAATGAAGAGAAAACCTGGAGGGAAAGAAGAGCATGGAAAATATCAAATTTGGGAATTTTGGAGTGAAAAAGGAGGGAGAGAAATGTGGGGATTTGGGGCCATCACAGGTGCTCCCAAATGGGTTCCCACAGGATGTTCCTGGCTCTTTTCCCACATTTCCAGCTGCAAAGCAGGGATTGATTTACCTCCTGCGACAGACAAACCTCAGCCAGGCCTGGGGTGGCTCTGCTTTATTAAAGAGGCGAGAAAATCCTGCAAAGAGAGGGAAAATCCTACAAAGAAAGGGGAAAATCCTGCAAAGAGAGGGAAAATCCTACAAAGAAAGGGGAAAATCCTGCAAAGAAAGGGAAAATCCTGCAAAGGTGAAATCCTACAAAAAAAGGGGAAAGTCACACAAAGAAAGGGGAAAATCACACAAAGAAAAGAGAAATCCTGCAAAGAAAGGGGAAAATCCTGCAAAGAAAGTGGAAATCCTACAAAGAAAGGGGGAAATCCTGCAAAGAAAATCTAAAATCCTGCAAAGAAAGGGAAAATCCTGCAAAGAAAGGGGAAATCCTGCAAAGAAAAGGGAAAGTCCCACAAAGAAAGGGGAAAGTCCCACAAAGAAAAAGGGGAAATCCCACAAAGGGGAAAATCCTGCAAAGAAAGGGAAAAACCCTACAAAGAAAAAGGGAAATCCTGCAAGGAAAGGGGAAATCCTGTAAAGAAAGGGAAAATCCCGCAAAGAAAAGGGAAAATCCTGCAAAGAAAGGGAAAATCCTGCAAAGAAAAGGGAAATCCTGCAAAGAAAGGGAAGATCCTGTAAAAAAAGGGGGAAATCCTGCAAGGAAAGAGGGAAATCCTGCAAGGAAATGGGAAAGTCCTGCAAGGAAATGGGAAATCCTACAAAGAAAGGGGAAAGTCCTGCAAGGAAAAGGGAAATCCTACAAAGAAAGGGGAAAGTCCTGCAAGGAAAAGGGAAATCCTACAAACCTCTTTGTCACCCTTTTTTCCCACAGGACATCGAGCCTGGACTATTTCGAGATCAGATCCAACAATTCCCTGGATGGATCCAACCCCATCGGGCCCCCCTTCCACTGCACCTTCACGGTGAGCAGGATCCGGATCCCTGAGTTCTCCCGGATCTGGGATCTGCCCCGGGAGCCGAGACCCCCATCCCCGGATCCCGACACGTCCCTGTGCTCTTCCCTGGCAGCTGCAGAACCTGGGATTCTTCCCGGTGCAAGGGGTGACCCTAAAGATCACCGTGCCCGTGGCCACCCGGGCGGGCAACCGGCTCCTGCTGCCCACGGAATTCCGGGCAGACCAGGTAGGACGGGATTCTGGTTTAGGGTGGGGTTCCAGCCTGGTTTAGGGTGGGATTCCAGCCCAGTTTAGGATGGGATTCCAGCCTGATTTAGGATGGGATTCCAGCCCAGTTTAGGATGGGATTCCAGCCTGGTTTAGGATGGGATTCCAGCCTGGTTTAGGATGGGATTCAAGCCCAGTTTAGGGTGGGATTCCAGCCTGGTTTAGGGTGGGATTCCAGCCTGGTTTAGGGTGGGATTCCAGCACAGTTTAGGGTAGGATTCTATCCCAGTTTTGGACAGGATTCCAGCACAGTTTAGGGTGGGATTTCAGCCTGGTTTAGGATGGGATTTCGGCCCAGTTTAGGACAAGATTCCAGCCTGGTTTAGGATGGGATTCTAGCCCATTTTAGGACGGTATTCTGTCCCAATTTAAAATGGGATTCCAACCTGGTTTAGGATGGGATTTTAGCCCAGTTTAGGATGAGATTTCAGCCCGGTTTAGGATGGGATTCCAACATGGTTTGGAATGGGATTCTGTCCCAGTTTAGGATGGAATTTCCGCCTGGTTTAGGACAGGATTCCAGCACGGTTTAGAATGGGATTCCAGCCTGGTTTAGGGTGGGATTTCAGCCTGGTTTAGGATGGGATTCAAGCCCAGTTTAGGATGGGATTCCAGCCTGTTTTAGGATGGGATTTCAGCCCGATTGAGGATGGGATTCCAACATGGTTTGGAATGGTTTGGGATAGAATTTAGGATGGAATTCCAGCCCAGTTTAGGATGGGATTCCAGCATAGTTTAGGATGGGATTCCAGCCTGGTTTAGGACGGGATTCCAGCCTGGTTTAGGATGGAATTGCAGCCCAGTTTCAGATGGGATCCCAGCCCTCCAGCCACATCCCACAGCGAGCCAAACTCAATCCCAGCTCCAGCAAATCCTGTGGGGTGCTGGGGATCCCCGATTCCATGGGGATGGGGGCGCAGGGAAGCCACTGCCACAATCCCTGTGTCTGTGCTGGAATTCCATCGGCTTCTCCCACAGGAAAACACGACCTGCAGCATCTGGGGGAACAGCACTGACTACCGGAGAACCCCGGCGGAGGAGGACCTGTCCCGCACCCCACACCTGGTACTCGCCTGCACGGGGCCGATCCCGGCTCCAGGATATCCCAAAACAGGGAAAAACCTGGAATAGGGATGGTCCATGGACATGGGAGAAGCATGTGGGCACTGGGATTTTTTAGGAGAATTTTAAGCCCTTCAGTAATTTTATTTTTATTTTTTGTCTCAGCCACTGCAATTTAAGCCCCGTTAATACTCGGGATTTATGGGGAGCGAGGGGATTCTCCAGCTCGCAAAGATCGGGATCGTTGTTTTCCAAGGGAAAACTTGGAGGGAAAGAACAGCACAAAACCCAGCAACATTGGGAAGTTTGGGGGGAAAAATTTCAAGAATTGTGGGGATTTGGCCGCACAGGAGGACGGACACATGGGATCCTCCTTCCCTCAGTGCCTGCCAGGGATGAATCCCAGTGGGATTTTCCCTCCTTTTCCAGCGTGATCCCACATTTCCCTTTGCAGAACCACAGCAACTCCGACGTGGTTTCCATCGACTGCGAGGTGAAATTGGCCCCCAACGAGGAGCTGAACCTGCACTTGCGTGGGAATCTGTGGATGAAGTCTCTGAAAGCAGTGAGTGCTCACCAGAAAATGTGGATTTCACCAGAAAACGTGGATTTCACCAGAAAATGTGGATTTCAGGGAGAAATCTCCCAAAGGAACCCTTGCATCCCAATATCATGGGGTTTTCCCTTCTTTGGGGTGGATTTTGTTCCCAAAGCCATTTATCCTTCAGGATCGTGCATCTACAGCACCTCATTATGGATTATTTAATTCCATAATTTATTAATTAATGCTAATTTAATTAATCTAAAACCACTTTTTTGCTGCCATTCTGCCCCACTCCCTGCCTTGCATCCTCCTCTCCCCTGGATGCAAACAGAATCCCTATGGATACAAAGCCATGGGGTGGGATGGATCCCATTGGGAATTGGGACTCTTTTTCCATATGGGAAGTTCATCCCAGCCCCTGGGGATGGATCCCATTGGGAATGGGGTCTCCTTTTCCATATGGGATGCTCATCCCAGCCCATGGGGATGGATCCCATTGGGAATTGGGACTCTTTTTCCATATGGATGCTCATCCCAGCCCATGGGAATGGATCCCATTGGGAATGGGGTCTCCTTTTCCATATGGATGCTCATCCCAGCCCCTGGGGATGGATCCCATTGGGAATGGGGTCTCCTTTTCCATATGGATGCTCATCCCAGCCCATGGGGATGGATCCCATTGGGAATGGGGACTCTTTTTCCATATGGGATGCTCATCCCAGCCCATGGGGATGGATCCCATTGGGAATGGGGTCTCCTTTTCCATATGGATGCTCATCCCAGCCCATGGGGATGGATCCCATTGGGAATGGGGTCTCCTTTTCCATATGGATGCTCATCCCAGCCCATGGGGATGGATCCCATTGGGAATGGGGACTCTTTTTCCATATGGGATGCTCATCCCAGCCCATGGGGATGGATCCCATTGGGAATGGGGTCTCCTTTTCCATATGGATGCTCATCCCAGCCCATGGGGATGGATCCCATTGGGAATGGGGTCTCCTTTTCCATATGGGATGCTCATCCCAGCCCTCTCTGTGCAGCTGAAGTTCAAGGCACTGAAGCTCACCACGATCGCCGCGCTCCAGCGGCGCTTCCGGAGCCCCTTCGTTTTCCGGGAGGAGGATCCCAGCCGCCAGGTCAGCCCTGGGATGGGGGGATCCAAAATTTTGGGATGCTGCCCTGATCCCACTGGGAAAATCCCTGTGGAGGGAGGGACCCAGGTTTGGAGGAACTCGGTGCGGCCGTGGCCGGAGCCGAGCTCCGATCCTGGAATCTCCGCGTTCCGTGGGGAAAGATGAGCCAAATCCTTGGGCAGCATTCCCAAAGGAAGGGCCGCTCAGCATTCCCAAAGGGCTGCTCAGCATTCCCAAAGGAAGGGCCACTCAGCATTCCCAAAGGAAGGGCCACTCAGCATTCCCAAAGGAAGGATTGCTCAGCATTCCCAAAGGAAGGGCACTCAGCATTCCCAAAGGAAGGATTGCTCAGCATTCCCAAAGGAAGGGCTGCTCACATTCCCAAAGGAAGGATTGCTCAGCATTCCCAAAGGAAGGATTGCTCAGCATTCCCAAAGGAAGGGCCACTCAGCATTCCCAAAGGAAGGGCCGCTCAGCATTCCCAAAGGAAGGGCCGCTCAGCATTCCCAAAGGAAGGGCCGCTCAGCATTCCCAAAGGAAGGGCTGCTCAGCATTCCCAAAGGAAGGGCCGCTCAGCATTCCCAAAGGGCCGCTCAGCATTCCCAAAGGAAGGGCCGCTCAGCATTCCCAAAGGAAGGGCCGCTCAGCATTCCCAAAGGGCCGCTCAGCATTCCCAAAGGAAGGGCCGCTCAGCATTCCCAAAGGAAGGGCCGCTCAGCATTCCCAAAGGAAGGGCCGCTCAGCATTCCCAAAGGGCCGCTCAGCATTCCCAAAGGAAGGGCCGCTCACATTCCCAAAGGAAGGGCCACTCAGCATTCCCAAAGGAAGGGCTGCTCAGCATTCCCGCTATCCCCTTCTCCCCGCCCTTCCTGCCTGGAATTCGCAGCGTTTCCTCTCCTCCAGATCACGTTCGAGATCTCCAAGCCCGAGGAATGGCAGATTCCCATCTGGATCATCCTTGGGAGCACCTTCGGAGGTCTCCTGCTCCTGGCCCTGCTGGTCCTGGCACTCTGGAAGGTGAGCAGCTTTTGGGGGATTTTTGGGGATTTTTGGAGATTCGCATGCCTGGAGGAACCCTCTGGATCTGTGTCCAGCGCCCCGAGAGCTCCTCAACACCACCAAGAATCCTCAAAACCTCCTCCAAAATCCTCTTTTCCATACAAAAATGATAGCCAGGACTAACTTCCAGCTGCTATCCCATGAAAAGCTCCTGGAATAACAGCGGGATTTTGTTTCTCCTCCCTCCCCACAGCTCGGGTTCTTCAAGAGCGGGAGCCGGCGGCGAGCGGCCGAGCAGGAGCAGAATTCCCACGGGATGGAGTGACTCTGCCGGGGCCAGGAGCCCCCTCCCAGCTCCGGAGATTCCCGGGATCCCGAGGGATTTGGGGGCTGAGCTCGGCTTTGCAGCAGGATGAGAGAACACTCCTTGTGGGACAGCACTTAAAAGCCATAAAAACCCCTCAAACCCACTGAAAATTCCCCAAAAATCTCCTCGGAGGTGCTTCCAACTGGGATTCCATAAAAAACACCTCAAACCAATGGAAAATTCCCCAAAAATCTCCTCAGAGGTGCTTCCAACTGGGATTCCATATAAAAACACCTCAAACCAACCAAAATTCCCCAAAAGAACTCCTCAGAGGTGCTTTCAACTGAGATTCCATTAAAAAAAACCTCAAACCAAACAAAAATTCTCAAAAAATCTCCCCAGAGGTGCTTTCAACTGGGATTCCATAAAAAACACCTCAAACCAACCAAAAGTCCCCAAAAATCTCCTCAGAGATGCTTTCAACTGAGATTCCATTAAAAAAAACCCTCAAACCAAACAAAAATTCCCAAAAAATCTCCCCAGAGGTGCTTTCAACTGGGATTCCATAAAAACACCTCAAACCAACCAAAAATTCCCCAAAAATCTCCTTAGATGTGCTTTCAATGGGCATTCCATATAAAAACACCTCAAACCAACCAAAAATTCCCAAAAACAATCTCCTTGGAGGTGCTTCCAACCGGGATTTGAGGTGGCAGCAGTGGGGACGAGGGGACACCGACATGAGGGGTCCCTGATGTGGGGCTGGAAAACTCCTTAAAATAATAATATTATCCCAAAAAAAGACCCCATGGATTGCTCCTTCCCGTGGCGGAGCTGTCGCAGATCCCGGGCTCTGCTGGCCGCGGCTCTCAAACTGCCTTCGTTAAGAGGAGTAATTAAGCGGAGGCGTTAATTAGTCTGAATGCACTGAATGAAATTCTTGTGATTTCAAGCACCTTAAATAAATGCCAAATCTCCGGTGTCCAGCTGTACGTAATTCTTCTAAAAACAGGAAGGAAAGGAGGGGGGGAAAATTTAAAAATCCTGCCAGAAATTAAAAAAAAAAATAAAAGAAGAAAAAGGAAAAAAAAAACCAACAAACTTAGAAATAATTTCGGAAAAAATTTTAAATGGTTTAAAAAATGAATTAAAAAGCAGTTTGATGAGTTGTGTCCCAGCAGAGCAGTTTGGGGAGCCCACGTGTATCATACCTGTACATAGCTGGTGCCATGGAAATCATGGAATTGTGAGGGCGGGAATGCGCCCTTGGCATAGCGGAATTATTTATGCTAATATTAATTTTATGGAGAAGAGGGAAGCGGATTTTTCTGGATGCAGGATGAGGTTCAGGAAATACTGTTCCTGGTATTTTTTAAGGAATAAAAACACGGTATTTTAAAAATTCCCGGTGTCTGTTCCCTTTTTTTCTGTGGGTATGAGGGGAGCTGCTCTGGGATTGGCAGGAGGATGGATCCTGGAATTTTTCCATCGTTTATTTCTGTGGGATGTGAGGCTTCCCCGGGAGGTTTGAAAGGGAGACCCAAACTTGGTATAAAATGGGGTTAAAAACTCCCAGATCAGATATTCCGTGCTCAGGTGGAGTGGGAATTCTGCAATTCCCCATTTTTGACGGACTATATATAAAAATATATATACAAATAGACTATATATATAAATATATATAAAAATATATATATTTCTAATATATTATATATATTATATATATTATGTATTTTTATATATAGACTATATATTTTAAAATATATATTGCATATATTTTTATATATATACATATATATGTTGAGTATATATATTAAAAATATTAAAAATATATATCTATGTATAAAATTAGCTATATTTGTATATATTTTGTATATACATTTATATATACAATTATATATATTTATATTTATATTTATATTTTATTCAAAATTTTATTTATTATTATTTATGTGTGTATATGTGTATATATTTTATATATATATATATTTATATTTTATATTTATATATATATATATATATATATACACATACATATACATATATATATATATGATATATATATGACACCTTCCACTATCCCAGGCTGCTCCAACCTGGCCTTGGACAATTCCAAGGATGTGGAAGTCTCAGCTCCTAAACCTGGAGATCCTAAACCTGACCCTAAACATTTTCCCTCCAAGGATGCAAACCCCGGACAAAATCCAGGAATTCCAAGGTAATTCCACATTCAATGTTTATTTCTTTGTCATACAAATAGAAACGTGTGCCCCAAATCTCGCCTGAAAGTTCTACCTGGATTGTTTTTTAAAAAAACCCCACGGAACATTCGTTCATCCTGACGGTTAAAAAGCTGCGTGGGACAGGAACAGAGGGTTCAGGAGCCTTGTCCCAACAAGTGACATTTTCCTGTCGGAGCATCTGCCACTTCTCCCAAAGTTCTCAAGCAACAACGTCCCCGTACAATCACTCGCTCATCAGCAAAGAGCTTGATGAGAGGAGAAGTTTTTATTTTTTTTTTTTTTGTAAAAATCAGTTTTAAGAAGAGATTTTTTTTTTTTCCCCACTGGAAGGAGTAAAAACCATGAAAAATCCTCGAGTCCGATTCAGGGAGGCACAGACTCCAACGCTTCTGGAAAAAGCCAAGTTCAAGGAAGACTCTCTTTGGCGGCAGACGGCTCCGTTAGGCAGATACAGCATCTGGAATCCAAGAGTGCAGCTGGACAGACTTTGAGTCAAAAAAATAAAGGTGCGTGTTGAGCGTCGAAACAACAGAAAAAAACCCAAGTTCAAAGCAGTTTGAAATGTTGGGACACACACAAACACAAATTCCCTACCCAGTTTCTAGGGATCCATGCATGATGTTTGGATAGGAGCGACGGAGCTGGGGAAAAAGAAACGATGATTCCGGTTATTTTCGGTCGGCGTGGAAGTGGGTTTTGTGCAAAGGTTATTCAATACTTACTGGAGCAGTGTTGGTGAAGAGCTTGATAATGGAAATCAGCCCTTCAGAGCTGAATTTCCACCTGCATTTCCTAACAGAGCATCCCTCACCTCTGTAGCTGTAAATTTTGATTTAAAACACAACTTTTAAAACGCTACCAACATCCTCAGCACGAGCTGAAAGGCGTAAAAGCACGGTGAGGTGTGAGAGCACCACACTGCTCTGGGGGTGGACACTCCACTTTTAACCCAACTACCACAGAATTCCCAATTTTTCTTCTCCCGCCTCACTGCGAGGAGTTTGAAATCCAATTCTGCGAATCGTGTCGGACACGAAACGTTCGACAGGAGTTGCCTGGGGGATTCTTCTTGTGTCGTTTAGAAAACCGAGAGCTAACGACAGGATTCTTTAAATCAAAAAAAAGAAAAGGACCAAAATCTCAAACATCGGATTCAGCTACAGGACAACGATGTGGCTTTTCCTGCCCCCCACCCTCCACCATCTCCACCCGAGAACCGAGGCCGCAGACGGAATCCAGAGGAACCCAAAACCAAAGGAATGGAGAAAAACAACTTCATGGACATGGGTGTATTCTGCTGTCTGGTGTTGTCCCGGGATAGCACCACCACAAAAGGTTGGACACGGCCTAGTGGAACTGGACAAACTCCTCCAGAGTTCTGGGGATCTGGTTTTGGTAGCTGATGTTGTAGATCCGCACGGCGCGGGCAGCCAGGCACTTGAGACTCAGCTTCATTTGAGTTTTAAGGAGGATTTCGGACACCCCGGTGGTGCTTTTATCCAGAGGGGTTTTCTTCTGCTTGTTGGTCATGTCCGTGTGGGCGCCGGCCTCCACCAGGCTGATGATGATGGAGTGCAACGTCAAGAAGTCGCTGATGGGCCGGTGGTACTGCACGATGATGTGCAGGGGGCTGTTGCCCTCGTTGTCCACGGCGTTGACGTCGGCGCCGCAGTCCAGCAGCAGCTTGGTGACCAGGGCGTTGGGGAAGCTGCACACGTCGTTGGTGTGGAAGTCGTCCACGGGCGTGCCGGAGTTGACGGCGTGGTGCAGCAGGCTGGAGCCGTCGCGCGTGCGCGGGTCCAGGTGGATCAGGTTGTAGATCTGCTTGTTGATGCGGGACTGGTCGTCCTCGCTGCACTGCGTCTTGGTGGAGATGCACACCAGGTAGAGGAAGGTGAAGATGTTGCACTCGTAGTTGTCCACGGCCGTGTGGATGTCGGCGTCCGGGGTGGTTTTGATGCGCGCCATGCCCTGCTCGATCTCCAGCACGCTGCAGCGCAGGACGCTCTCGATGTCCTTGGCTTTCACGGGCTCGTTCAGGTGGATCATCTGGGAGAAGACCTGGGCGAACCTCAGCAGGTCCTTGTGGGTGTTCCTGTTGCCTTTCTGCCGCAGGTGCAGGGCGTGGAGCCAGAGCTTGATGCACTGCTCGAACTCCATGTTGTCCGCGTAGACCGCGCCCCGGTAAATGATGGGGTGGGAGACGTCGATATTGTCTGAGCCCAGGATTCTCTCCCGCACTATGAGGCCTTCCATGTGAAGGGCATCTCTGTCCTGCCTAATGGACTCTAATTCCTGAGGGGTCCTGCATTCCGACCTGTTTCCGTAGGCCTCGATCTGGGGAAGCACCTCCTTCTCGATGACGTTCTCGCTGTCGCGGTACCTCTCCAGCATGGCTAAATATAAATAGTGGTAAGTCTTCAAAATGTCGTAGTTCTCCCTGTCGTTGGCAAACGAGGCCCCCAGCAGCTCCAGAGCTTCGATCCTGCTCCTCCTGTCGCAGTCGGCGTGCGCCAGCAGCAGCTCCACCACGTCGGCCTTGCAGCTCTCGGCGGCCACTTTGAGCGGCGTCATGCCGTGGCCGTTGACCATCATGGCCGCCTTCCACTTGACCAGCTCCCTGACGATCTCCAGGTGGCCGGCCTCGGCGGCGAAGTGCAGGGCGGTGGCCCCGCAGTGGGCCTTGGCGTTGGGGTCGGCGTGCTGCTCCAGGAGGTAGCGCACCACGTCCGTGTGGCCCTTGTAGGCCGCGATCATCAGGCAGGTGTTGTCGTACTTGTTGGCGATGCTGATGTTGGCGTTGTTCTCCACCAGGTACTTGACGATGTCCAGCCGGCCGTCGAAGCAGGCCGCCCGCAGCGGCGTCGAGTTGGTCACCGTGGTGTGGTTGACGTTGGCGCCGTGGCTCACCAGCAGCTTGACCACCTCAAAGTGGCCGGCCCCGGCCGCGCACCACAGCGCGGTGGCCCCGTCGATGACGAAGCTGGGGACGGGAGGACAGGGAATTAGGCTGGCGCTCTTCCAAAAGCACCCCACACCCAGCCACCAATGGGGGATTTTACAGCCAGCCCACCCCTGGATTTCAAGAAACTCATCGGGATCACCACGGCCAAGGAATGAGGCCAACGGAGCACGCGGAGCGCTGGAAGTTGGAGCTTCAAAGCAGCTCAAAGGGGTTTGGCCACCTTGAAGACCCCACTTACAAACTCCAGCCTCAGTCTGGAGAGCTCTGGCAAGAAGAGTTCTACAGTTATCCCTTCAGTGCCACAAAGTGACCAAGAAAAACCTTAAGGTGGATATTTTGACATAAAAAATAACAGATTTAGACCCTGGCAGCAAAACTGGCTTCAAGATTTCCGATCACTTCCCCTGGCCCCTCTCCCCGAGCTGCAGCTCCCCAGCGCTTCCCCGTTCGAGATCCCGTGCCCTGAACCAGCCCGGCACCCCGGTGACACAAACGGAACCTCGGGAAGAAAATAAAACCCACAAAAGCAGAAGTTCTGAGCTGGGCTGCTCCACAGATCTGTGTCACGTGGTGGCCCTGAAGAACAGGGAAATGAGGGGACAGATCCTTCTTATTAAGCTGTTTTCATTCCCTTAAACCCAGCACACGAAATCAAGGATTTATCTTTCCCATTCCCTGGTTTCTGAAGGATTTAAATGAAGAAACAGGCAGGATTCACACACCCTCAAGGCACATCCCAAACACACAGGAAGGACAAGTATTGTCAAAAAGCCACGCTCCCCAAAGGTAAAATATGGTAAGATCAGCTTAAATTTCACTTTCACAGAGAGTTTTAATTATTTGGTGGAGCCCCCGCAGCTCCACAGCAACTGTTTGTAAATCCAACACCTCCAGAGGCTCTTTAAGATCTCAGAGAGAATTCCCGCTGAGAAGTTCCTGATTTTGTAAAGAATCCCATTAAAATATTTCTGTATTGAAGCAGGAGGAGAGTCAGGACGGGGGATTTTTTTAGGAACACGAGGTGATTTGTTGGTGTTTTGAGGCTCCGAGTGGAAAGCCCAAGGGAGAGGAGCTGCTGAGCCACCTTATCTGAGGAACAACAATCCCTGGGGATCACATGGGCTCTGCTCCTCTCTCTGCATCCATTGTGCCTCCCACAGCTCCTCCTTCAATCCGTGCCAGGCACAGCCTCTG